GACATCATTGGCGTTTGTATATAAAAACTAGAGGCTCTCAAGAGCCTTAGTCGCTCATCTGTATCTACTGTGGTTTTGGAAATCATGTAAAATAAGGTTAAAATCATAATAAATAGTATTAGATACCCTAATAATGATTGAGGCCAAGTTTGGTTTAATTTGGCCCAGTAGTATAATTAAAAGCAGGTCATCCCATTGTAGTCTTACAACAGTTACTGAAGACCCCTTATCATTATTTAAATTAGTTTTCAAGTTGTGACCATTTGAAATTGTTTCTTTGCAATTTTCCCATAGACTTCTATAATAAACCGCTATGTTCTATTTTTAGCCATGGTGGCCATGTTGGTTAGCAGGCAGGGTCATCGGATACAATTTTCAATCAAGATACCCTATTGAAAATTGTGGCTAAGTTTAATTCTATTTGGCCCAGTAGATTAAGTGGAGAAGATTTGTGTAAAAGATTACAAAATTTTAGAAAAATTGTTAAAAATTGACTATAAAGGGCAATACCTCCTTAAGGGGTCAACTGACAATTTTGGTCATTTGTCTTATTTGTAGATCTTACTTTGCTGAACATTATTGCTGTTTACAGTTTATCTCTATCTATATTAGTATTTTTAAAAGATAATAACCAAAAACTGCAAAATTTCCATAAAATTACCAATTCAGGGGCAGCAACCCAACAATGGGTTGTCTGATTTGTCTGAAAATGTCAGAGCAGATAGATCTTAACCTGATGAACATTTTTACTCATGCCAGAATTGCTTTAACTGCTTTAGTTTCAGAGATATAAGCCAAAAACTTTACCCCCTATGTTCTACTTTTTGCCATGTCGGCCATGTTGGTTGGCAGGCGGGTTCATCGGACACATTTTTTAAACAAGATACCCTAATGATGATTGTTGCTTAGTTTCGTTAAATTTGTCTCAGTAGTTTCAGAGGAGAAGATTTTTGTAAAAGATAACAAAAATTTACGAAAAATTGTTAAAAATTGACTATAATTGGCAATAACTCCTTAATGGTTCAATTATCAATTTTGGTCATGTTGACTTATTTGAAGATCTTACTTTGTTGAACATAATTGCAGTTACAGTTTATCTCTATCTATAATAATATTCAAGATAATAACCAAAAACTTCAAAATTTTCTTTAAAATTACCAATTCAGGGGCAGCAACCCAACAACGGGTTGTCTAATTTGTCTGAAAATGTCAGGGCAGATAGATCTTGACCTGATGAACAATTTTACTCCGTTAGATTTGCTCTAAATACTTTGGTTTTAGAGATATAAGCCAAAATCTACATTTAACCCCATTGTTCTATTTTTAGCCATGGCGGCCATGTTGGTAGGCAGGCGGGATCATCGGATACATTTTATAAACTAAATACCCTAATAAAGATTCTTGCAAGTTTTGTTAAATTTGGCCCTGAAGTTTCAGAGGAGAAAATTTTTTAAAAGTTAACGTACGACGACGGACGACGAACGCCAAGTGATGAGAAAAGCTCACTTGGCCTTTTAGTGTTATCCTCTTAAACTTTTACATTGCAAAAGAAAACTTAGTCAACACAAAGTTAGTGTTAATGTATGATTATTGTTTTGAAATAAAAGAAGGAACACATAAATGAAAAAACTAAACGGCACAAAATGACACTTAATTGTCAATATGCAGTCGTCAATATCATACCAATGTTTTAACAAGATTTAACCTTTAAATCGGTCCAGTTCAAGGAAAGCATTTATAATAACATAAACGGTACCAATTTTTCTGCACCAGATGCGCATTTCGACAATCAAGGTCTCTTCAGTGATGCTCGAGGCCAAAATATTTGAAAATCCAAAGCTTATTAAAAAGATGAAGAGCTATAAACCAAAAAGGACAAACAAGTATAGCCAAAGCCATAAATGATCTGTCATCAACACAATATTTCCTAATGAACAACATTTACATACAACTAAAGACTAGTACCGACTGCGTTCTCGATTCTTAACAAGTAATGTACATTCAGGGGTCTATATATAAATAAGAAGATGTGGTATGAGTGCCAATGAGACTATCCATCCAAGTCACAACGTGTAAAAATTTAACAATTATAGGTCAACCTACGGCCTTTAACACGGAGCCTTGGCTCACACCGAACAGCAAGCTATAAAGGGCCCCAAAAAGACTAGTGTAAAACAATTCAAATAGGAAAACCAACGGTCTAATCTATATAAAAAACGAGAAACACTTATGAACCACACCAACAAACGACAACCACTGTACAACAGGCTCCAGACTCAGGACAGGTGCATACAAATGCAGCGGATTTAAACGTTTTAACAGACGCCAATCTTCACCCTAACCTAAAACAGTGGTGTATCATTACAACATAAATAGACTAACCTGTTTGATCACTACTCCTCCTAAATTTCAATCAGTAGAATACCAAAAGGTTCATTAACAAACGTTCATATAATTTTACTGAAGAGAAGTGTTAATCCAATTAAACCAGAGTCACAGCTTACGAAAACAAAGGTACAAGTAAAGCAATATATCAACACATGTTTGCATTTTACCCAAAATCATCCTTCAATTACTGTATTTCCGAAAATAATTCATTATATCAATGTCATGAACAGTCCACACATACACAATATTGTGTAACGGCATATTATAGTTTGTCAGAACATCGACGTAGTTATTATAAAAGAAACAGTTGGTCGTGTTTCAAACAACGTATAAGCAAATTGATAAAATTTTTCAAATTATCAAAGCGTCAACACGATTATGTTTGTTATATATACCATTTACAGATAATTTTATTGACCAATCAAATGTCCTTGATAGGGCAGATTAATTACAATGTAATCATTCATAACATAATAAACAAACTAAACATAAAATAATAAGACAATAATGGTTCAGTATTTTATTTTTATTTTGAGGAAATCCAGCTAAATTTGGACATAGAGAGACAACAACAGCATCCTCATATTTCAGATGCGGGTTTGCTTTAGTAATGAATACCGATTTTCTGTTAGTTCTAATATCATATTTAATATAAGATTCATTATATAATTAATTACCTTTATTAGTCATTAACCATACAATTTATTCTCTGAAGAAAGGTTGATAAAATTGCTATATTTATAATTCAGATGATTGATGAATGTCTGTCAACAGTTTTCAAGAGCAGAACAGTGTAATTTAATATTTCTTTCATCTTCTACTGTTTCTCTACATAAGTTTTATTTTCCAACTTTTAATTTATAAATTCAGGTATCTGTCCCTTTCTATATTCAGGAATCTATCCATTTCTATATTCAGGTCATTTAGTCCGTCAAGCCGTGATCAAATATTTGAACATATTCTATACATCAATGTCGGGAAGCAAAATTTATTAACCTGTTTGCCTGACAAAAAAATATCTCCATAATAATCTGGATGCGAAATACCACTTTTAAATGAATTCGTTAAAAGAGAGGCAGAAGATACTAAAGGGATGGTCAAACTCATAAGTCGAAAACAAACAGACAAAACCATGACGAAAACATCAAAACGACGAAACGACGCACAAGTCCACAAATTTTAAGAAAATTAAATACTGAGCAACATGAACCCACAAAAAAACTAGAGTGGATCTCAGGTGCACCAAAATGGTAAGCAGATCCTACTACGCGTGTGACATCCGTCGTGTTTAAGTTGAGTCAATGCAATGTGTTTATATTTGTTTTCGTAAATTGTTTTGTTATAAAGTAGGCCGTTAGTTTTTTCTCAATTGAATTGTTTCATATTTTTCATGCAGGGGCCTTTTATAGCCGACTATATGGTATGGGTGTTTTCTAATTGCTGAAGGCCGTACAGTTGCCTATACTTGCTTACATCCACTGCATATGAACTTTGGTGGATACTTGTCTCATTGGTAATCATACAACATCTCCAAATTTTTATAAAGACGACGAAAAGACAAAAAAGCCCAAAGTACACTTCATAGAAGACTTAAGATTGAGCAAATAGAACCCTAATAATGCTCTGGGAAGGAAAGCAGAATCAAGGGAGGCGGACAAGATTGTGGTTACGACAATTGGAACAAATCTGTGGTCAACTGTGACACAAATATTCCATGTCAATCAATCAACGCGAGGTGATTTTCGGAGGATTGGCTTCAACTTTTCCACTTTGATTACAAGTAGAAAAAAATGAAAGGATATGGAGTAAATTTACATGGGACAAAATCGCTCACAATACATAGAAAACATAGAAAATTATCAATGAACAGAGCTTTTATTCCTGTTCTTCATCTTGACAGTTGATGTAGGGTCTTCAACAATGAACGAATCATTCATACCCTACAACAAGGTCAAGACGGCCCCTAGCGTCGACTTAAGCGGAACTATTGATAAAGATAAACCACAGTTCACCTTCTTGCGCCCCACCCGCCTCGGAGTGCCAACTTGTGCGATGCTTGTGTACGACGGTTCTCCAGTCGAAAGCACCAGGGATACAAGAAAAGTGCAGTAATTTTTAAAGACATCGATCGCCGCTAAAATATGTCTTGAAGTTACACATGTCGGGAGCGGTCAATGAATTACATAATTTATAATTACGGGCGAGGTTTTTCAACATATATTTGTCATACATTGCCCAACAAAAGACCAATAACTTGTGTTTCACCAGATTGATATTGAATATTAAGTACAGCTACAACCTAACTTTTGGGCGATGTGGCGGAATATTTTACACAGAAAAATGTCAGTGTGGATTTACAAAATGAATTTAGGAAGGTTTGCAGTATCGCTAAAATTCAGAAATCCAATATATTTTTGGTATATTTCTACGAAATATTCAACTATTTTTTAAGTGTTCCAATTGCGTTTATCAAGTCCGGTCTTGTTGAAATTAAAGACACTTCCAAAATAAAAAAAATAACTCCGAAATTCAGAAATTGTGCAGAGTTAGAGATATATTTATCAAATTGCGTAGCAGATTCAAGAGTAAAATTTACGCAGCAATTATTAACTATAGCATAATTGTGTATGTGCATATTTGCATGTATTTATTGGTTATTGCTATTCATTTTTTTTGTACACAGCAAATAAGTTTGATTGTGGGATCCAAATTTGAATAAAGGATACAAAGAATAAAGAAAACATTTGCTGTAATAAAAAATGTGTTGAAATTATCTCAATCTACAGCAGATCCACTCTTTGTCTATAAAAACAAGGGAAATGAAATCTTAAGAAATAAACACCTTTTCATACGGTACCATAAACAATGTTTCAAAAACATAGTTCATTAAGTCTTAACATGTTTGGCTTAACTTTACAATTAGTTGTTTCACAAAAATCAATTAATTATCATATGTTTTTATCACAGTCTAATAGGGGTGTCAAGAGGAAGCACGCATATTTCCGAAACTTAATTATTCAAGGGTAAACAGTTTTTGCAGGGCTGTCAAAACCGATGTAGACTGGGTTCTTGGCATCAGCAATCACACGAATACCGAGATACGAGATAAATCCGTCGATACTAAAGGCAAGTCCTGTGGCATCAACGATCTGTTTATAGGCTTCTGACTCTTTTTCGTACTGGGCAATAATTGCCTTCGCCTCTGTATGTGCTCTAAAACAGACATAAGTAGGTAGAATTAATAACATTTTCAGTATGATGCTTTTAACACCTTGAATGACATTTATGTTTGAATGTTTGATTAACTCCTGGTTCATCCTACTACTTCATACGTGATAGTACGAAAGGGATGTCACGTCTCTGCAATACGTCAGCATTCCGTCCTGATTTGAAGCAAACTACATTATGCATGAAAATCCTATGTTTTGAACTGCTCAATGTTAAAAATTAACGACATTTGCATAAAAGCATGTAAGGACGTAGGGATATTCAAAATAGTTTTCTATGTATTAATTTGTGTATGGGTGTAGAAATTTCAAGCATTTCAAGAACGTTTTGTGTATTTATGTTTTTTCGAACTATTCTAGATATTGTAATGTGAGACAATTGTGAACCAATGATTTTCAAACATTTACCTTGGGGTTTTAACGGAAAATATATATGTAGTTCCTAAAAGAGTGGATGATTCTAGATTTGAAAAAAAAAAACATTAAACAAAAAAATATCTTATACTTGGTAAACATTCTTGAAAGTGCTGCCTTCAAATTCCATATATGTGGAGCAGATCTTATGATTAATAGTTGAAAACCTTCGTTTTTAGCTTTTTTAATGATACCAATATATTTTTTCACATATATTTCTAAGAAATATTCAACTACTTTTTTGGTGTTTCAATCGCGTTTATTAGTCCAGTCTTGTTGAAATTAATGAAACTTTCAAAATAAAACATTTAACCCCGAAACATCTAGATTGGAAAACACTTACTGGGTTTCCCCCGAAACATCTGGATTGGAAAACACTTACTGGGTTTCCCCCGAAACATCTAGATTGGAAAACACTTACTGGGTTTCCCCAATCTACGTACTCATCTTTTTTTACAGTTATAAATATCTTCCAATCAAGTACACAAAAAGCATTTAGTCAGTAGACTCGGAATTGTTCAACCTTTTATGCCGTCTTCAAGGAGACAGTAATAACTACTTATGGCAGACAAGAAAAAAATACTTTTAATTACTAAGAAAAAGAAATGCTAATACTCCAATCAAATAATTGAATTTGTTAAAATTGTTTATCATGGTTTGTGATTATTGATAACTACCAGTAAAAATATTATTAAGTAATTATCCAAGCATACCCAGTAATAAGTAGAAGATGTAATTGCGTTACATGCTTTGAATTCATATGAAAAGAGCCCATGCCGTATAAAAGCAACCCATGCTGTACAAAATCTACCAAGCCGCATGAATGCATGATATGTTAGCTTAATAATCAACAATATGTTTTCCCATTGTTCATGTACTTCGTGCAAACGATTATGCTTTCTAAAGGCGTAAATTTTATTTATTTGAAAAAAAGCAGTTTATTACATCTTGAAATAATGATAATACATTATTATCCTAAGATATACATATACAATAATGAATGAAATTATCTATATATTTTACGAGCTACATGTATCTACTTTGAAATCGATTTCTTCATATGGCAATTTCAGCAATATGACGTTTTATAATTAGCTTCTCGTGGAATTTTTTTTCAGTTTCAAATTATTAATAACACATATTTTTGTACTTCAAATATCTGTAAATTTAAGAGTTGAATGCGGTGTTTTCAAATTTAAACGAAATGAAAACAAGTGGCGCCATTACATTTTTAGCAAAAAGAAGACAGCATTCAATTCTTTAATGAGGGTCTTGAGGGGTTTACATAATAGAGAAAAATTGGCAAAAAGTGCAGAATATAGGGCAAAAAAAAAAGAATATAGAAAAATAGGCAAAAAAATAGAGAATATGGGGTGCTACATAATAAAGAATAGAGAATAATGAGGTGCTTAAATATAAAGAACAGAGAATAATGGTCAAAATTTATAGAAATAGAATCTGTGGCATTAAGCAAACAATGATATGTAGATAATTGCATAACACAGACAAAATAAGATAAAATAAACATATATGTTTTGGAACAAATTTGAAAATAATCATTCGTCATATTAAAACAAGAGTTGTCATTTTTTTTTTAAATTTAGTTTTGATAATTTGTTTCAAATTTAGTCTGAGCCGTTTAGAAGTCAAATTGCTTTTGTTTTTGTTTTACATTATTATTTCTATATCCATGTCTAACCGGAAGTGAATCACTGGGTTTTTGAAAGTGATGGACGTGCCTCGCTGTTTTTTGATAGAGATGATTGTGATTCACTATTTTATGAAATAAATTAACTGAAATTGAGACGATATAAACAAAATAACAGAATTGTAGAAAAACAAACTAATTTTCAGAATAGATATTTACTCACGCCATTTTCGCGAGTAGAATGGAACACGAAAATGAATCGTCGGGAATATCTGATAATATGATAATTATTTTATATATGGATAAATGAATTAAGTTAAAAAAAATAGCCAAAAACAAGTCGCGAAAACAATTAAGTTGCTTTTTAATAATTGAAACTTGTTTGCTTAATTTGTCGCCTTTCATATAACGAACTGTTAACTCTGTTCTTATCTCATTTCTTTATACATTTTCCACTAATCTATGCATAGTATATATCATGTTTGGTGATAACCATATTCGCATTGTTTATGCATCGGTGGTAAATTGCACTGGTGGATCCAGGATAGGGGATAGAGGACATACGCCCCCTTTTGGTCGACAAAAAAAACCAAAAAAAAACCTCCTGTTTTTAACGATTTAAATGTCTTATTTTTGCACAAAAACGTCCAAATTTTTTGCAGTGTCTCTTACTTTTTTTGAAATTACACCCCACCCCCTTTTACAATTCATGGATCCGCCCCTGAAATGTTTTGTTTTATAGAAATACTTACTTGTTAGCTAAAATACGAGCATCTGACTCGGCCTTGTCAATAATTATCTTTGCTTGAGTTTCGGCTTCTCTTTGTTTCGTCGTCGCTTCAGTAAGAAGCCGTGGACGTTCATTGTTTGCTACTTGGATATCTTCTCTTGCTCTTTCTTTACTTCTAATGGCACTTTCATACTGGGACGGTCTATCTATATTGCTCACCTGCAATATTATCCAATCTATATTCAGTTCTAAGCGGTTTTTCAATCTAACGGTGTTATTTAGTATTATAATAATGGTAAGAGTCGTTGCAACCGATAAAGGGGCTACATGGATATTAGCATTTCTTGGAGACACGTATATGTGAAGTCCTACTTAAGCGAATTAGTTTTGTAAGTGTAAATGAAATTTTGATATGAACATAGCTTAAAGTGTCTTTAATTGGATTTCTGATTAATGAGTGTGTTTTTAAGAATTGATTGATGTTCACTCATACGTTTAATATAAATCCCTTCGAAAGTTAACCAGATTGCGAAGAGTCGGCCGAGTAAATACATCCACATCAATTATACTTGATTTCGATGGAATAGTAGACTAACAAAAGTTGAGATTTTTTGTAAGTATTCAGATATCACTTTCATTTAAATAAGGGATCCATCTGCAAAACCATAAGTTTGATATTTCATTGTTGGTAGTGTTTTAACCTAGACTGATGCTTTAACTGCGTAAGAATTCATTACCTTCGAATACTCAATGTCCATTGAGCAAAAATTGAATAAAATATAGTTATGTTTTCCTTATAAACACAAACTTTAACATGTTAAAACTATGCAAAAGTTTCAAAGTCAATAGACAATGACTGAGGTGGCGGGACCTAAAAATCTCTCTGGATATGAGATATGCCAATGCTTATACTACTGAACACCAAATAGCATTGACCTATACAGTTAGTGGATCCCCTTTAATTTTTAATTAGAAACTTTAAAAGCATCAAAATGTTGACGTCGACATCGTGGACACCACCACCGACAACGCCATCAGCAACAGTACATTTAAGTCTCGCCTCCAAGACTTTGTAGATACGATACAAAGTCCATCACACTACAATTACCAACTGGATGACCACTTACGTAAACAAATAATAAACTTCAGAAATCAGGGTCAAAATGTGTTCTATATTAGTTGATATGAATGTAAAAGTCCCGTACTGTTCTGGTCTGTTTTCAAAGTAAAAAGAGAGTGGAAATACTTAGGGGCAATAATTAACCACAAGTCGAAGTAAACACCATGGCAAAAGGTAATAAACCCTCAATTTAGGACACGGATTTAGTTCAGGGAACAATGATAGATCTGTTAAAAGCGAGACAACTCTCAAAATTGAATGTCATCAAAACTTTTGCAAACTTCAACTTTCAAATTTTTTTTTGAAAGTTATAGCTTTGAAACATACCTACTTTCCCAAAACTTTGAACATAGACAATTAATTTGGAAATTTCGAATAAGTGACCACTGTTTATCAATAGAAACTGGTAGATACAGGAAATTTCCAGAGAATTAAGACTATGTACAATACACAGTGTGGTGTATTAGATGACGAATTCCATTTCTTTTTTTAACGTAAAATTGATAAACAAGAATGTTTTATTAAAAATAAATCTAATAACTTAAACCATATAGATAAATTATAACAAATCCTTAATCCTGAAACAAAACAGGATATCAACAAATTAGGCTCCTTTTTAAAAAAATGTGACTGAGACTGAGGGTAGGGAGTTCTTGAAAAGAGAGAGAGCGCGCGCAAACATGATTATTGTAAGATGTACGCTGGATATGTATCATTGTTTATTTTCATTGTTTGGTCACTTTAAGACAAATTCGTGGAATTAAAAACTGCCTCACCTGTAAATCAGTGATGATTGCATGGAGCTCTTCATATCTTAACTCAATTTGTTCTTGGACCTTTTCCTGGAAAATTGCACGTTCAGCTTGGAATTGTGACGTATTGAAATAACTGCAAGATTCGTGTAAAGCAGAACTTCCTGGAACATAAATGAATTGCTAACTCCGAAACAGTGGTAACGTCTTCCTTGCTACGCTCTGTTTCGGAGTTTGAAGTAAATGGAAACTGATTTTTTGGGAAAAAACCAAGGGCTCGACAGTTTCCTAGGAGCACAAAGAACACGAGCGTTGAGCACAGATCCCTATATCTAGAGCTCGAAATCTATTCAGTGGAGCCCTTTGTCTTGCAGCTCCGCTGTCAGTGGATCTCGGAAGCCAAACAAAAAAAAACATTGCTCAAATGAGCCGGAGCCCAATATGTGCACCCTGTAGCTTAGATAAAATTAGGGTGGAGTTTAGAGACTATTGTCCGTGTTATCCCCAATAAATAATTACGCCAACATATATAATGCAAAGAAATTAGCTATAATTGAGAGGTTGTATGTGCGATTGTTTTTATACCAAAGAAACAATCTGATCAGAAGAAATGCCGGATTTATTTTTACTCCGAGTATAAAAAGATCCACTCAGCATTGTAACCTCTTAGAAGTTGAATAACATTCCTTTTTAATATATGCATACATTATTCTTCAACAAACAATTTAGAAAATACGTTTTTATTGAAGCAATACTATTCAATACATGAACAAAAACAAATTATGTATCCTGAAAAGCACAGGATGCAGACAAATGAGGCAACTTTTAAGAAAGATCGCTAAGACTAAGGAAGGAATATATTTAAAAAAAGGGGGTGAAAGATACCAAACGGGATTTATATGCAATAGAAAACTTTATGATATATGTATTTTTCTTTAGTTAACTCATGTTTGTTTATGAGCCTTTGTCTGCCCTTTATTTGCTTTATGGAACACCCTGGACGTTGTGGTAAAAAGGTAGGTTTTAGTGCTAGTGTTGTGTTACGTATGGATATTGGTTAGTTGTAGGATTAGGGTCAAATTTAGTATAGTCCTATATGGGTTTGGTCTTCGTAAATACATGTAAATGAGGGCATTTTCCCAACATAGGCATAAAGGGATTTTTCGCTATATATGGAAACAATTTCCCCAAAATACTCATTTTCTAGTGCTTAGTTCTATCGGCACCTCTTAGTCTGGAATGTTGTCTTTGTCACATGCAGCAATAAGGTAGGCCCACATAAAACACAAACAAAAATAACCAACAATCAGGTTTAAATTTGATCCTTATTACACATGTAGTAATCATTGTGAACATTTTTAAGGAATGACTGTAATATTTTTTTTCTGTCTATGAAGAAATAACATCCAAAATGTGATGCACACTGAATCTCTTGCGTAGCGGGTTATTTAAAACAGTGCACCACTTTTTTATGTTATTTCGAATAGACAGAAAAATTATTACAGTCATTCCTTATAATTTAATTCTAAATTCCATTTTTAAGGAGTAAATCATGAAAAAAACGTTGATATGACGTCACGGTCACATGAAAATTATATCTATATGAGCCGATAGACAAAAACGTTTAGCCAATCAGAAGACGTGTAACATCCAAAATTAAATTATTAAACAAGAACATTTGTTTCCTGAGTATTAATGATTTTTTTATGTTCAGAAAAAAGATATACCTGCTTGTCTGAGAACATTTGTGTAGCCATTTACGTCTCTAAAGTTAATTATCACCGCCCTCAGTTTGGAAGATTTCACTTTATACTGATAAGTGACATCGAGGGTTATTTTCACTCCGTCTTTATTCAAACACTACAAATAGAAGAAAGGAAATACAATATATCGATAGAAAATAGTGGAAAGGTAGAAATAAATCAATGATAGAGGGCTAATTCTTAATTTAAAACATCATTGAATTGATTGATTGATTAATTTATTTTTGGGTTTAACACAACTTTCAGCGCTATGGGCTATTTCGTTGCGGCCAGTGTTTATTGGTGGGGGCGGAAAGCCGGAGTTTCAGAAGAGAAAGTCCAGCATTTAATACACTATGCCACAGTCATGACACTATGACTCGATCGCATTGTCACAATTTCTTGTTCGTTGAACCGCAAAATATTGGTCAAAACCCTATATAAATGTTCACATCAAAATGATTTTGTGTACTAAGTTTCAAGTTAATGTGACAAAAAAAGTTATATAAAAATAAGGAGATGAGGTATGTGGCCAATGAGACAACTATCCACCAACGTTCAAATAAAGTGGATGTAAGCAATTATAGGCAACCGTACGGCTTTCAACAAGAGAAAAACCCATACCGTATACTCGGCTTTAAAAGGCCCCGACATGAAAAATATGAAACAATTCAATTGAGAGAAAACTAACAGCCTAATTTTTAACAAAACGATCAACGAAAAACAAATATGACAGACATGAACCAATGACGACCACTGAACTACAGGCTTCTGACTTTTGGACAGGCACATAAAGAATGTGGCAGGGTTAAACATGTTTATGTTTATTCATGTCACATAACTATCATAAACCTACAGTTTAACCTCATACAAGAAGAACGCACTATCGGGCGGACATCTCATAATATCCCCTCCCTTTTATATCGTAAGTGTGACATAAAAGTAATTAAGTGTTGCCATATTGAAATGCAATTTATTAAAGAATTCTCAATCTGTGTTTACAAGGATCTGACATCACTCTGTTCTACCGTCTGTTGATATAACTTTAAAATCAACCAATGAAATGTTTGCCTTCAATTTGTTGAGGGTGGGCATCATCAGGATAGAACCTGAGTATCCCGAATGATCGCTATAACGGAATATAGATCAGAGCGTTGTCAGATCGGTGTAATCAAAGCGTGGACACAGGATCATATTGGAGAATTGAATACTTACTTCTAAGTCATCGAACATCAGTGACTTGTATGTACTAGGGAAAATAATAAATTCGTATCCCGGTGGTCCAAGATGTAAACCTTCTCTTAAAGTTTCTGTGCCTAATTCCCTTTGGAAAGTGTCATACTTGACTCCAACTGAAAGAAAACCCCATTATATCAGCTAGATTTAGACATATTTAGGCATTTTGGAAATTCAAAATAAATTATAATATTCGTAAAGATATAGGCTCAGTGCAAATACGTTAGATTCAATTATGTGAATAAATAAAGTCACGATAAATTTTGTTAAGAATAATATTTGTGTTTGGATTAGTACTTACTTTGTATATCACAATATCATTAGCCATGTTAGAGGGCTTGGATGGGGTTTACAGAACAGAGAATAATATGCAAAATGTGCAGAATAAAGGGCAAATAATATAAAAAATAGACAAAAATAGACAAAAAAAAAAAAAAAATAGAAAAAATAGAGAATAACGGGGTGCTAAACGGGGTACTAAAGTATAAAGAATAGAGAAAATGGCCTAAAAAATTAAAGAATACAGAGATGAAGAACACCCCCATCTAGACCCTCATGTTATGATTAGATTAGGGTAAATCCTGAATTATCATAATAACCTATTAAAATGAAGAAAACTTTAAATGGGACGACATGAACAAGATCGAACAAATTATGTTAATTGTTGGTTTGCGTTTGAAAAATTTAACGTCCAGTTGCAAATAGTTCGTTCATGTTTAGTACGAAACAACCTATCCATAAATACAAGGTCTGCGAAGTAGGTACGGATGAAAGGGATAATTAGGGATATATAGAATAGAAGCAGACACTTGGTCTTCTGTTTACAGAATGTTTGTTTTAGACAAGATATTGAATGCAATGACGCGAATTATAATTTCTATTCGAAAATGTTCAACCAAAATTTCAAAAACCGGTGTTAATAAAATAAAAATGATAAATTGTAAATTGAAAAATTAACATGGTCGGATTAAAATTGTGAATTCCGTCACAGATATTTGAATACTAAATACCATAAATATATAATACTATTTTTCTCTGGAAATACTTAAAACCACAATTGCCTTTTTTTACCAAAATAATTTAATCCCTGCTGTGTTCAATAACACGGCATTTTCTGACTTTCAGACCTCGTCATGTGGATTTGCTTTATTTCACATGAATATTTTTAATTCAACAGTTTTTCCCCATATTTATGATATTTGATGATAATGTTTGTCGTTACTTTTGTTGACTGGTATAAAAGTTATTACCTTCGCCTGTTGCCAGTTTTTTCAGTGACGTGCCGACCAAGACTGCGATCAGTATAGCTCCAGCTATCAGTAAAACACATATGAATATGCCGACTTTTCCAACCAAACTATTGTTGTCACCCATCGTGATCTATTTTTTTCTGTAAAGAAATTTATGATGTGAATTGAAAATAAAAATTGAAAGAGTGTTGAAACTATATATAAAATTAAAGAAGAATTAAAAACGCATAGGAAGTACGTATGGTATTCATAGCAACATTGTATATTGTTCTCTTGGTTCATTTGTTCCTAGGTTTGATATCAGGGTTCACCGTAAGATAGACATAAAATTGAGGATGGAAATGGGGAATGTGTCAAAGAGACAACAACCCGACCACAGAACAGACAACAGCAGAAGGCCACCAACAGGTCTTCAATGCAGCGAGAAATTCCCGCACCCGGAGGCGTCCTTCAGCTGGCCCCTAAACAAATATATATACTAGTTCAGTGATAATGCATCTAATAGAGCTAAATATAAGTGATTGGTTGTTGCATGTTTGCATAATGTCCAGATGCCATGCATATTTAGGACGACAACAAATTAACAATGATACTGTATCAATAGGTAGGTTCAAAGAGGTATGTCAACTGGACAATGAGGGTACGTGGGATAGGTGCAAAAACATTGCGTGCAACAGGCCACATACGGAACCATCAGAGAGTTGTTTCAATGGTACTTGAAGATAGCGTGGCAGTATCCCTACATGTAGCATCGGATTTAACGTCCGCATTCCGATTGGATATGACTGCGTATTTATACATCCCGCATAGACAAACGGACGCCCAACTTTGACTACGATTTTACTGCCGGACGGGGAAAATTCAGTGGTGTCAATCAACCCTCTCAAAAAGGTATTCTTCAACGCGGTGAATATATACCGATGAAGTTACTTCTTATAAACTTTCATCAGTTTTTTGAACGCGGTGTAAGTGTGCTTTTTCTTTCCCAAATATTCTTGTCTTGGGTAACAGCAAACTGAATATGTGTTGTTTTGGGACAAAATCTAACGTAATCAACAATACCAGCTAAATCGGAGGGCACGCACTTGCTTTATTGCAGCATTTTTATTTGGAAGAAATTGTGTACAACAGGTTTTTGTTTTGTGGGAAAAGGGTAAAAGCAATCGCAGTCCACATAACATTGCACGGAAAACTAAAGATGAGTAACATAATCAGCGGAAGTGACCATATATGCTCTGAAATTGGTAAATATGTCCTGTTCCGCTAATTGCACCTGTCGTTTTCCTAATAACAAGTAAAAATACAGAGCAAAACTATAAAGGAAAAACCAACAACCATACATTATTACACGGAACCGAAAACTAAAAGTTGATTGAGCAACATGACACTCCACCAAAATCTTAGGGTGAAGGCAGGTATAATCGGTAAGGGGTAAACAACTCCTGTACCACTACACGACCCCATCATTTCGCTCATGACCAGTTATATCCGGTTGTGAGTCACATTAATTGGCATGAAAAATGGTAATATGATATCAATGTATCAAATCAAAATATAAATAAAAAAAAAGCGATGTCATAGCAAAACACTACAAGGAAAATTGATATTAAGCAACATGAACCCCTCCAAAAATTTTGGTCGATCGCGTGTGACTCGGAAGGAGTAAGCAGTTCTCGTTCCATTAAATGAAATCCCTTATTTTTCTCATTACATGCAAATACTGAGTAGTACGGTAAGTTAGATACGGTGGTAAGCAATGAAGTAAACAAAAAAGGAACACCGGATTATGCCTTAAATAAATGACACATTTGCGATACAGATATTCTTGAGCAATCACATTTGATATTGGCGCAAATAAAATTCGATGAGATTATACGTCAATTTAAGATACCCTTGCTTCAGTCTAGTTTTAAAAAAAGACGATGTTTTATCTGCTCATTTCCTTCCTATCTGTTTTAATGTATAAAACATCGAATTATTATTTTGCTTGATCATTGAGTAACTCAGTTTAGTTGATTGTTGGTTGGTTAACGTCCAGTGGCAAATATTTCATGCATATTCAAGACGAGGTACAGTTTAGAGCGAGGTTTATCTTGTGTCACGTTTGTGTTATTATGTTCTCAAACGTTATGATTTTGGCTTTTCTAACTATATTTTATTGACCATTGAGATTACCTGTTGAAAGGTCAAATATACGTGTAAATTGTTTGGAATCAGTATCGATCATTCGTTTTATCAAATTGCACGATTTACAAATAATACATTTATGAGTGTCTTGATGGGGTTTAAAGATTAGAGAATGGGACCAAAAAAAAATAAGAATAGAAAACAATAGGATAAGGTGGTGCTAGAATATAAAGAAAAGTCTGAGAATAATGGGCAAAATTTATAAACAATGGAGAAAAATGACCAGAATTCAGAAACGAAAGACCCCCATCCAGACCCTCAGACATCGGTTCTTAGAAGGTTTTTGAAAATTACAGTTACAATTTTCAAACGAATTTTAATTAATCAATAACAGTGAATAAAATAAGAATATTAAAGAAGACTCATTTTACCAAAGTTAGTTAATTTCAATTTTAGATCTAACACTGTAACATTTATAATACATTGAATTGCATTTACCATAACTATATTTAATCACACTGAAACTCTGGCAAGTTAGTTAGTACCAGGAAATAATCATTAATTATAATTTACTGTCTTTCTCCTTGCCATCTCTCCCTCTAGAAAAAGGGAGAAAGAAAGAAAAAAAAAGAAAAATAACAACAACGAAAAACAACAAAAAATAAAATACAAATTAAAACACACAAATTAGAAATCAAAACAAAATACAAAAATGAAATACATTCAAATTTAACATATATTTAAAACAAATCATTCTGCAAATATATCTTTATTCTCGTAAACCAAAGTGCAATTAATGGTTAGATGGTTAGAGACAATCACATGCAGGTTGTAAATTCACATGCGTTTAAATTGTGAAAAATACTTATCAATTGAATGTCGATCAGTGCAGGCCCTCAACAAATACGTGATCAATAACGATGAGAATATTCTTGATAAGTTACACACATATTTACATGCACTTAGCAAAAAATCTGTCTGCAATTATATTTACCCCCGTTACTAAGCATATATACACATACAAAGAAAACATTTCTAATTGTAAGAGTTCAATAAACTTGTTTCTTATTGAGAAACGTTAGTATGGTTTGAACTGGACGTGCCATAAACATGATCGATCTGAGATTACTATGTACACATTGTGATGTATTAGATGACGAATTCCATTTCGTTTTTAAATGTTGAATTAATAAACAATCAAGAAATGCATTTTTTAATGAAAATAAATCTTATAACTTAAACCATACAGATAAATTAAAACAAATTCATAATCCTGAAACAAAACAGGATATCAATTAAATAAACTCTTTTTTTTAAAAAGCCTTTTTCAATAAAGTTTAAAGTCTTACTATACATAGTAATCTTAGACAAAGTATATGTGTGTCACAGATACCGTCCTTGAAACATTTTGCTTGAATAAAAAAAGATATTAATATATAGACGATCGGCACATATACCAGTCCTCCCCCTAAATAACAAATAACAAAACAAAACAAATAGAAATTATTCAGATACCTTCCAAAAAGAAGTGCGACCAGTTTCATATCCAAGTTATATAAAAAAAGAAGTTCATAAATAGATACCAGTATTATTAAAAAGGGCTACATTAAACAAAGCTTATTAGCATACTCTGCATGTTGAACATTGTCGGAAACTTGTTTTTTCTATGCTGTACAAACCCGACTTTAAATACAATTGAAAAAAAATATATGGTCAGCTGTTGTCATATATATGGTGGTTATACATGAATTTTAATAGACAGAGGGAGAAAGCGAAAACGCATGAAAGAATGCGTACGCCCATTACGCCTTCACCTGGACCCGCCCCTGAATGAGAATAGTTGTGATTGATAGATTGATATCAATATCAGTTTATGGCCAACCTCAATTAAGACATGACTGTGTACTTGAGTCTTTATCGCAGACTCTGTCGTGTTTATAATGAAAGATTAACTGTGTAGTGACTTATATTAGCTTTAAACAAGGATTTATATACTAATTGAATTGAAAATGGAAACGGGGAATGTGTCAAAGAGACAATAGCCCGACCAAAAAGTAGAAAACAGACTAATAGTATGTAAATCCTTGCTTTAAATATCATGGCCAATACCAGAAGTCCATTAGTCTAGTAATGGACTTCTGCCAATACGCATATAAGCAGACTGGCACATATAATATCATTTATATGTCTCTGGCATAAGTAACCCCGTAAATGTTATTTGTGATTTGAATTGAAAAAATATCAGGGGGAAGTGCACTTTCCACATTTTTTGGTGTTTTTATTCAACGAAATATATATATGTCATAAATATGTTACTACATTTTGATTCGTTTCGTTAAATATTTGTATGTGATATTTCGAACTGTAGTTATTTTTAGAGGCGTAAGCGGTTAGGTGTTTGTTTTCGTGTTGGTAAGACATCATGCATTTATATTGCTAATTTTAAAGAAATGTTAACAGAAATAATTTTAGACATATATTCAAAAATGTACACAAATATATATATTGCAACGTTACATTTCTGTGTTATTGCAAACAGGCATAACATCATAATTATTTACATTTTGAAATATATTTTGGGTGGGTTCTTTCGAAATACCCGGACACAACAAGTTACCATATTTCCGCATATACGTGTACGTTGTAGATATTTTTTCAATAACGACAGTCTTCTGATCAGGTTTGTTGTCAAAGTAAATCCTTTGTCCTTAATAAACTAGTAAGTGTCAATAATGCATGTTTTTACTACATAGAATTTAAGATGAATAACTATTTACTTTCCTCAGGCTTCTTGTGAAAATCCATGGATGGTACCAGGGGGATTCAAACCCCAATTCTCGGGATCTACAGGAGTGCTTTAACCAATTGAGCCAAAGAAGATCTTCCCTAACTCAACTAGTTCTATCTTTATATCTCCAGGTCTACAACACTCTTCCCCCTTTTCTTTTTTCGGGCTGCGTACCATCCATCCGAGGGTATCGGGTCCATTCGCTCCCAATACAGGTTCATACCCTAGACGCTCACCCCTGGGTTTGTTTGCACCCTATTTTTATTTGAATACTGGTTGAATAATTAGATGTTTTAGATATATATATTTATATATGTAAATTTTAGGGATTTTTAAATGAAATATTCTTTTACTTTAGAGGTCCCAACCAATATAGAGCTATACTAAACTATCCTTTACCTTAAACCTTACCCTAACCCATACCTAAACCTGACACTAGCGCTAACCCTAAAACCTAACCCTAACCTAGAACATCCCATAACCTAACCATAACCATGAATGAACCATAAACCCCGAAGTATAGCTATATATATATATATATATAGAGACCCCTAAAGTAAAAGAAGGCCGAAATATTTTATTTGGTCATTTGACGATTAATTATTAAATGTTAATTACGTATGATAACTGTTAATTGGTATTTAATACAAAGCCAAATTTGGTATTAATGTTCTGTGTTTGAAAATCATGATTGTTGTTAAAACTAGCTTTGATGTAAATTTTTACTGCAAGTAGTTAGCTTGGTATGAGTAAACTCATTTTTGTATGTGCCTGTCCCAAGTCAGGAGCCTGTAATTCAGTGGTTGTCGTTTGTTTCTGTGTATCATATTTGTTTTTCGTTTATTATTTTGTACATAGATTAGGCCATTAGTTTTCTCGTTTAAATTGTTTTACAACGAAATGGTTCATCCCTGTTGCACTTTCAATGTTGACATTCTTTTCCTTTTAATAGCTGAGCATGCCTAGTACATGCATATTCCATCTCCAGCTAAGGTGTTGAATTGAAGGTCACATGCATACAGATTCATTTGAGGTTGAAATATTGACTTGTAAGTCAATAAGATATCACCGATGTTTTTGAGCTTATTTGACAAATTTTGGCCAAACTGACTGCTAACAAAATGTTATTTCAAAATTCTGCTTTTACACATTTTATAAATACTGGAAACATATTCAGTAATCATATTTTAATTTTTTGTCTAAACATAGCTAATTCCACTTTAACGTAAATAAAAGAAAGTAATCATGGTCAGAACAAATTGTTTATTTTGCACCGTTCTACATCTGTATCGAGTGTTTATAGCTATATACATGTAGCTGGTCTATATTTACATTTACTTCAGTTTTTTTTTTAAAATGAATGAAATTAGAAATTTCAAAACACAAAATTACTTGAAACTTCTAGTTGTCTACAATGAGTCAAATAACTTATACCCTCCATTAGAGGACTATCAGCATAGAGGCACTCTTTTCAAGCTTTTTTGCAAAACATAATTTTCTCTTGCAATTGCTGTCAAAAAATGTAACCATGCTGCATTTGTCATGAATTTGCATCAAGCTATGATGTTCTAAATAAGCCAAATAGGCAACTGCGAATTATAATAAAACTTAATGTTCGCAGTACATGCATGTACTTAGTCGAATGTACTTAAATTAAATCGGATAATTTTCAGAGCAAAAAATCATGGCTTGTGTGTTTACACATGTTACACATTTTGGCATGTCATATCATGATATGATTTTTCATTCTCAGAGGTTAGAATCTATGTTGACAAAGTAGCCCTACATTGTATACACATGATACATGCACAAAACAATGTAAATGTTGAGAAATTGTTTTGAGGTTATATGCTTTTTGCCATCTAAATCATAAAGATCAATTGCAAATGAAAAGGAAAGATAAAGTTTGCTCACATCATGTACACATCATCTCAAAACACAGGCCTCGACAATAACGCTTGTCCGATTGTCCGGTACCAGAGGAAAAAAAGGTCGGACAATTAAAAGCTTTATCAAGCTTGTCTGACGGGACAAGTAAAATTATTCTGCAGAAAATAAATTTAATCCAATTTTGATGAACAAAGTAATTATAAACAAAAAACAAGAAAAGAAGATAAAAACAAGTATTAATTTGACATGTTTACTTGCAATCGATACTTTAAAACTGGTTTTTTGTCAGGTACTTTTTAAGAGGTCTTACTGATCCGAATCATGCGCTTTGTAGATAAGGTAACTTTTCAAGACAGTTCGTCACCACTTTGTAGATAAGGTAACTTTTCAAGACAGTTGTCACCAGCTTCGGAAAAGATTGGGCTCCAAATTTAATAGACAGTTTGGCACCGTAGGAGACATATTTAATAGACATGATTAATAGACAGTTTGGAAACGCAGGAGACATTTGGAGACATTTTGGGACCAAGACAAATCAGTACCTTGTTTTGACCTTATTTTGTTGCTTTATAATAAATACCATACCGGTAATTTTTTTAACAAAAAATATTTTTTAAATAAAAATGAAGAAATTATGTATCATAAAATTCACAAAATCATATTTGATCATATGAAGAAAAAAACAATACTTGCAATATGGTGACATATAGTTGTTAATTTCTGTGTCATTTTGGTCTCTTGCAGAGAGTTGTCTCATTGGCAATCATACCTCATCTTCTTTTTTTTGGAAAATGACGCTATCAGCGGCATGTTTCCAATACCATTGACCAGAACTTACGGAAGTCGATTATTGCCTCCGCCTACCGCACTCGGTTTCATATTTACTATTTTACATACTAACTGGAATCTGCTTGTATTACGCTACACACGAACAAAGTGTTGTAGTCGGAACGGAACCAGTTTACATACTTTATTTTATTTACCAAAAAGATATCTTGACCTGTCCATATGTTTTTTGTTATTAAATGGTATTTGGAGCTATCCCTTTGTTATATTTTTCATATTTATTCGAGCTTTCACTTTTATGCACATGTCTTACAATCGTAAACAATCGGTATGTATACATGATAAATAGATCCGTTTTGTTATGGTGTTGGACTTTTTACCCTCCAATGATCAGCAATCGCTAGACAAAATAGTTTTCCTAAATAATGTCAGCCTTTCATGCCATTTCAACTTTACAATCATTAAAAAAAGTGAAAATCGGAATCATTTTGATATCCATTGGATAGAAACTGGTCTTTATCCAGATTTACGAAGATTTAAAAAATCGGAAATTAGTAATACAGTTATACCCACGCGGTGCGTATGAATCTTTGTTTACAAAACAGGATTTCGGAACGTCTCTAGTTTTTAGATCGTAAGTCACGATAAACTCAAACTGAAAGTGAACAGTTGTTTGTAAGACGCAGGTTTACTCACCATAAACAAGCTGAAACGTTCAGTATGGCATATATTTTAGGTTAAAGACGGTCCCATTCATTTAAAAAGCATTTTGAAAGTAGACGATGGGATTATTTCAGGTTTGGGGAAAGAGTAAATTATCACAAAGTTCATTTCTTGACGACCTCATAATTTCATCATGTCGATGGTACAAATCGATTTTTACTGTTTACTGTCGCTTCTCATGTTTTGTATTTAAACGGTCGTTTATTTTTAAACCCGAACCAGGCATATGCATTCTGTAATTGTGCAAATCTTCGTTCTTTGGTCAATTGGCTTATGGATAGTTGAATCAATTTCAACTCTTACATTATTTTTTTTAAAAATATATTTGCATTACACATGCAATGGCAGTACCTTTCCAATTACTATTTATGTGTTGTGTCTAAATTAAAGTTGTAACACTTTATAGTGACTGGAAAGGGTAGAAAAATTCATCAGATGAGAAAATGCTAAAGATACTTCAAACGGCACCGAATCATTAGATATTGCATCTTATAAAAATAAACTGAGATTTGGATAGTTCCACTTCAAGGTAAAAATGTTTATCTCTTGTGAAATGAAATAAAAAAAATATTGTAACACTGTAGTTAATTAATAAAGATACTATTACGTGTATTTCTGTATTGGCCTTATTATTGGTCCTCGGCCAGCAGTATTGGCCTTCTGCTTCGCCTCAGACCAATACACCCAAGACATGGACCAATAACAAGGCCAATACAGAAATAGTTACGCAATGATATTATAGAATGACAGTATGGTTCAATAGCGGGAATCAGCCCCTCAACTACTTTTTACATAAATATTAACTTCTGGCTTCAACGCTTTGTTCGTCTTGTCTGGAGATCTTGCTGTAGTTCCAGTTCAGCAAGCATTTTAGAGACGTATCCCGTCCATCCTCTTTTGACTTGTAATCTCTGGTGATAGATTTTGCCGCTTGACATTGTATCCTTTCAAGCTTGTTTTTTTTTTTTTGTTACCGTGTAGGGGTCCCATACTATGGCTCCATATTAAATTATAAGATCCATTCCTAAAGATCTAGATCATTGTTCTAATCTGACACAAATTTCAATAACTGGAATGCTACCCAAGTTGAATATATGGTGACCCACGAGAACAGCATTATCACTATTGAAATTGTGTTTAATACCATGATTGTTCAATGCATATGTCATTAACTTAAATGGAGACAGACATTTGATCTGAAAGACATGAAAGGTGATGTGGGAGTGCAAAATCAAAAACTAACTGACTATGATATATGGTTAAAGAATGAATATCAATTACATGGGTCAACATAGTCAAGGGCAGAGTTGTTATGAAATAACAATATGGCAGAGAAGTGGTTTCAAATTTCATATAAAGCGACCTGACTGACATGAAATAAAAAATCGAAGGAGTATCCCTATTTGTCTAATCTTCAAGGTGAAATAAAACTAGTAAAACAATATTATACTATTGTCTAAATATACAGAAATATAATTTGCTTCAAGTAACAGAAATAACTAGGTCACTATATATATAGCTAGTAACTTATTTAATGAGTATGTGGGGTAAAAGAGCTTGCTAACAACAGGCTCTTCATAATCATTTGGTTTGAAAAGGATACTAGTAGTCTATATTCTTGATTTAGAAAAATGTAATTGCAAGAAAAAAATCACATTACTTAGAATACTTTAGATCATTCAGGTAGTCTTTATTTATATGTACAAAAGAACAGCCAGTAGTCATTGGATATTGTAGATCATTCAAATAGTCTTGACCTTTTTATTAGTACAAAAGAAGAGCCAGTAGTCATTGGATATTGTAGATCATTCCGGTAGTCTTGACCTATTTATTTATACAAAAAAAATGCCAGTAGTAATTGGATACTGTAGATCATTCAGGTAGTCTTGACCTATTCATTTGTACTGAAAAAACAGACACATATACGAATATCAATTATATGCTTACTAGACATGTTGCAATGTTAAACTTATTACGACATGTGAAAATCAAGACTTGCATAAGAAATATATCAATATTAGAGACAGTGGCGTCATTTTTCCTCAGAGCTTTCAGCTCTTTGATTATTAATTGCATTTGAAAAAACTTTTTTCAACTTAAAAACCAAGATACAAATCCAATGAGTGTACATTGACAGGCCTATCAGACGGTGCCTCATGTGCAGAGTCTGATGAGACTTTGGCATTGAAGAAAGCTAGAACCTAAGTCCTGTGACATGACTAGATTCAGTTGTTCTCAACTCATATTTTTGAAAAGTATATCAAAAGATATAAATCAAATTCTGTTCTATTGTTTTAATTCATTTTGTTCCTTGAATCAACTTAAAATGCAAAAAAGGTTATTATTAAGATTTTTTTTGGACAAGTTACAATTTCATTTGGACAAGTACGTTTTGGTATGTACTTGTCCTACTGGACAAGTTGAAAAAAAAAGTTATTGTAGAGGCCTGAAACAGATTACATATTTTGTGAGTTACAATCCACAAATTTTGAATATTTAAAACGCTCAGCAAGCCATGAGTTTTAAGTTTGAAAATAAATGTGTCAAAAGTTAAAATATTGTATACATTTTGTAATCATAAATGGTAGAATCTAATATTCTTTATAAATTTTAATGAAAATATTTCGAAATAAATTTTTCTCTGATTTACATGACCATGATGACATTTTCTACCAGTTTTTATACGCCCGTCAATTTTTGACGGGAAGTATTATGGTATACAAATGTCCGGTTTCTGGTGTGTTTTTTTTCACATGTCGCGCCGTATCTCAAAAACAATTTATGATTATTGCTTAAAACTTTACACACTTCTTAGTTATATTAATCTTAAGATCTGTATACTTTTTGGTGATGATTCAAAATTTTATTTTAGAGATATTGAGTATTTTGTTAAAAAGGGGGAGGGGTTTTTCACATGTCGCGCCGTATCTCAAAAACAGTTTATGATTATTGCTTAAAACTTTACACACTTCTTTGTTATATTAACCTTAAGATCTGTATACTTTTTGGTGATGATTCAAAATTTTATTTTTGAGTTATTGAGTATTTTGTAAAAAAAGGGGGAGGGGTTTTTCACATGTCGTGCCGTATCTCCAAAACTATTTATGATTATTGCTTAAAATTTTACACACTTCTTAGTTATATTAATCTAAAGATCTGTATACTTTTTGGTTTTGATTCAAAATTTTATTTTAGAGATATTGAGTTTTTTGTAAAAAAAAAAAAGGGGGGGGGTTTTCGCATGTCACGCCCTATGTCAGAAACTATTTATGCTTATTGCATAAAAATTCACACACAAGACGACAGGGGTATCATGCGCTCATGGCGCAGCTGTTTATTTAAATCTGAAATATAAATTTGTAATATATAATGACTTCTGTAACTTAAACTATAATATACATCAGTCAAGGATATAACTCTATAGGATTATTAGAGAAAAATAACATACATTTCTTATTGTGGACTAAAAAGTCAAAGACCTGTGATAACATATGTATGTTACATGTTTCAAAGGGACAATATACATCATTAGTTTTGTTAAAATGTATACAAGTTTTATTGATATTACTGTTGTCTTTAAGTTTACTTAACTATAGAAAGATATAGCAGTTCATATTTTGCCAATCATGCATAGTACACATATGTTATTACAGAAAAAATATGCCTGTAATAACTAAAGGGTGTTTTTACAGCTTCTCTTTATCACTCCAAAGCATTTGCTCAGACATACATCATGTTTAATTACAATATATTTTAATTCATTGTAAGAAATAATGATCAGAGCATGTGATGAGGTTCTGTACAAGCTTCCCAGTAATTCCCAAGTGCCTCATATAATAAGTTACATGCCTTTAATAACTGAGCCTTGTTATTAAAGCTAAGATTATCACTTAAAAGCCTTGTCTTATTGATTTACCATGGTAGACAACTCATAAAAATATCTGTTATAACACATGTAAGATATTTTCTGTAATAACCCTATAGAGTTATATCCCTGGCTGTACATACCTAATTATTTCCTTTCAGACTGATAGGTCATACTTTTGACCAAACAATCTGGACAATACCAAGTTTGAACGAAAAGTTCTCAATGCTTAAAATAATGAGCTGTGTCAGGTCATCTACCCCGTTTATAATGCAAACTATAGTTTGTTAAACTATTTAATTTATTTGATAGTAATGTTGCGTTGTTGTCCTTATGTTCAGTCTTTCATTTGACCAATCCTGACACCCCTTGCTGTGTTATACAACAAGAAAACCTTTAAATATGCATTATCTATAACATAAGTTTTAAGAATTTGATATTGAAGTGGTTGAACATTTAACAATCATGACAATTTAATTACAAAAATTTAATCTTGATGTCACAGTTCTACCTTAAAATAGTAAATTTGGAAGTTACATGTATATAAATCTTACAGCCATGCATATGATTATCTCATTTGATTTAAAGATTCTTCATACAAAACTATGAAAATTATCCTTAAATCAAGAAATTTGTGATCAACATAATCATCAGTTCAACACATATTCATTGATATTACTGTGATTAATAATGTTTAAAATTTCATGAATATTAGTTTTCCCTGCTGTATTTTCAAATAGAACCCTTGGCTTTGAAATAACATGCATTGGTTCCCTAAAATTACAGCACAATGTTAATTAAATAATCTACTAAATTCAGAGTACATCTCTCACAACTACCAGCATTCTCTCTGGAAAATGTTAAGCAAGAGTTATTTAAACTTAATCACACTGCCTCCTCACTGTTTATATTAAATATGTCATTGCATGTTGAAAGTGTGAAAAGTGTGAAACTTATTCACACTGCCAAGTTTCACACTGCCTCCTCACTGTTTATATTAAATATGTCATTGCATGTTGAAAGTGTGAAAAGTGTGAAACTTATTCACACTGCCAAGTTTCACACTGCCTCCTCACTGTTTATATTAAATATGTCATTGCATGTTGAAAGTGTGAAAAGTGTGAAACTTATTCACACTGCCAAGTTTCACACTGCCTCCTCACTATTTATATTAAATATGTCATTGCATGTTGAAAGTGTGAAAAGTGTGAAACTTATTCACACTGCATAGTTTCACACTGCCTCCTTACTGCATTGTACTGTTTACAATGTATATTAAATATGTCATGCATCATCGCATGTTGAAAGTGTGGAAAGCATCAGTAAACATGGTACATTTATTTCAGCTAATGTTTTACATCTTTTCTATTTCTATCTACAGAAGACATAATCCAAGATGGCTGAAAAGAAAATAGTGTATGTTGTGGGTTTCATTGTCCTGGCTATAATTATTATGATTATAGCATTAGTAGCCACTTCACTGAAGAAACTGGCGTCAGATGAAAGTAAGTTGGAAATTTACTGTTAATCAGGGTTATGTTTTGACAGTCAGTTATGTCTCTTGAGAATGTTTGATATTCTTGTTTTTGACTTTTTGTCAGATATTCAGAACCCTCTAGTTTTATCCATGTAGTGCCAATAAAAATTTTTGCTCGCTTACCCTATTTTTCTTTTCATAATTTTATTAAATACAGTTTAAAAAGCCATTTTTTAAAATCATTGCTATTTTTTATAGTTTTTGAAAGAAAAAGGTGCCAATATTAAATGTATGTAAAATCTAGAATGAATAATTTCCTGCCAAATTTAATTGATTATATCGATCTGAACAACAACAAGGAACAAGGACATGGACCTGTCATTTTTTACTACTTTTTAAGTTCCGTTATTTATATACTATCAATTTATAACAGTCTTTTAAAAAGCTTATTATTTTTAAATAGAAGAGCAAACATCCTTAAATGACACTTTGACTAACTTTTCTAGTTATTGTCTATAATATAGAATACTGTAAATTCAGAAATTATTTCGTGCATTTATTATTGCGATTTTGTCATTTTAGACTATAATGCGATTTTAATTTTTGCGATATTGAGAAAAACCCTGTTTAATTGATATAAAAAATTTCAAAATGCGAGTTTAAATTATTGCGATTATAACCCTGTCGCATTTTTCGCAATAATAAAAACATTGCAATAATTTCTGAATTTATAGTACTATAATCAGGTGAGTGATTTAGGTCCTTAGAAGCCTCATGTTCTGCTGCTGTTTGTTGTTTTTTGACTAATGTTTCTTTTAAAAAATCTGATTGAAATTACGATCTGGTATCCATGCTTTGCTTACAATGATTGGTTCTATTTTTATGTTTCAAAGACCTTTCGGGATCCTCTGGTTTTGTCTAATTAATACACACCTTCAAAAATTTGAATGCTGAAATTTCATTGGCTGATTTAAAAATCACCAGAGCAGAAAGTAGAACGGAGTGTTGCGGGATTCTTGTAAGCAAGCCTGGACACAGATTCTATATTTCAATGAGCTGCGGAACTGTAGCTCATAGGTCCTTTTGATACTTTTTGACAATTTGCGGACCATATACATGATATAAGTCCGCAAATTGTCAAAAAATATCATAAGGACTATGAGCTACGGTTTCGCAGCTATATTTCAATCATAATGCTTTATCAGTCAGGGGAATTACAGAAATAAGTGATTTTTAAGTAGCAAATTCGAAATTTTGTCACAAATTGTGATTTTGTAGTTTTACCAAAATTTTAAACACATAGGTTTAGATAATATCTTATCATTAGTAAAATTGAAAAAAATGAACCTTTTGCTTCTTTTAAGTAGCAAGGTTTATGCCTTTGATGCAATCGTTTAGCTGTAAATTCTATTTTAGTTGAAAAAAATGCTATAATGAAGGCTTTACATAATGAACTTATACTTTCTTCACAGATTTTTCCCAGCAGTGGGAGTATTTTTCCTGTACAATTCAAGGTTTCATCTTACAGATTATGTAATAAAATTTTATTGTTCAGGACCAAAATTTCACTGTTCGGGGGGTGTTGAAATAAGTGGGGGTTATTAAAATAATAATACTTAAAGAAGTGATTTTTTGGAAGACAATAGAGGTATGATACTTAAACAAGTGATTCCTTATGTCATTATTCCAAATTCAAGTACAAGGTCATCACCTGACATGACCGGTCATCTTATCAATACAGATGTTGGTTCTGATAATTTTAGCAACATAAGTAGTCCCTGTATTGTATAGTTAAATCTGCAATTAAAATAAATCACTTAATCTAGTGATTTATTTGTACTACTTAAATAGGTGATTATTAAAGAAAGACAACTCTTACTTCCAACCTTTGTAGACATAATGTTACTTGAATCAGTGATTTAGAAAATCACTCATTTAAGTAAGTCCCTTGACTGTTCATCTGTTGGCTCTTTATTGATATCTTTCTATAATTTATGAATGCATTATAATTAAGAAAAAGAAAGCCATCCAGGACCTACAATCTAATCATTTTCTTATTATGTTAAAAGTTGGTATAAAGTATGACACAGTTCAGAAAAAGTTAGATGATAGCACAGAAAGAGAAGGTTTACACACAGGACCTCCAGGCTTTGAATTCATCAAATTTCCAAGTGTGTACAAATCACTCTCATTCAATGGCTTAGAAGTAAGTATATACCTATTTACTCTTGTATGCATGTGTGTCTGCCATTCCTTAAAACCACACAAGTTCCCACAAAATATTGGCACAATTTAAAACATTTGACATAATACATTTTGTAATAATTTAAAAGTGATTGTTGCATTAAGTCAGAAGGTTTTTCCGAGAAAGATCTATGGTTGTTCAGAGACAAAATTTAGCTAAATACCAAAAGTGTAAATACCTCTGTTAATTCCATACTTTTATCATCGTTCCATGTTTTATAAATTAGATGCACATGCTGTAGAGCTTTTCTGATAGAAACAAGTGTTTTATTTTATTTAATAGATACTTTATGTTCATATGAATGTAGACAAAATAGAATATGATTAGGTTTATGTATTAGAGAAGTACAAATATATCCAAGCCAACTACAGTACACGTAGAGAGTTTATAATCGCGAACTCTTACCACCGATTTCGGGGTGTAGCGGTGTCACACCACGAATCACGGATTATACTCCCAATTTCCTCCAAAGATTCTCTCCCAACACCGTGTGGCTGTTAATTGGTTTATTGCCCATCGGATGTACTAAAAATTAACGACGTGTGACAACATAATCTGATTAGCCAGATTATTTACCTATGAACATTTTATCGATCTTGATTGCACCTGTGTGCTTTAAAAACACGGTATTAAAATTTTAACAAATGATTTCATTTCTTTGACAGATAAAGATGTGACATTATCATTCACAATAAGATAATTATTATACCCCACGCAACAGTTTGCGGAGGGTATAATGTTTTTGACCCGTCAGTCCGTCCGTCAGTCCGTCCGTCAGTCCGTCCGTCCGTCAGTCAGTCCTGTTTCTTGTCATCGCAACTCCTCTTAAACCACCCAACAGAATTTCACGAAACCTTTTTAGATAATAAGGACATACTATGTAGTTGTGCATATCGACAGGAAATTGCGTTTCAATTTTTTTTCTAGGAGTTACGCCCCTTTGAACTTATTTACTTTAATGTACTACTGCAACAGTTTGTCATCGCATCTCCTCTTAAACCACACAACAGAATTTCATGAAACCTTTTCAGATAATAAGGACATACTACGTAGATATGCATATCGACAGGAAATTACGATTCAATTTTTTTTTCAGGAGTTATGCCCCTTTGAACTTATTTGCCCAATATACTACCGTCCGTCAGTCCTGTTTCTTGTCATCGCAACTCCTCTTAAACCACCCAACAGAATTTCACGAAACCTTTTTAGATAATAAGGACATACTATGTAGTTGTGCATATCGACAGGAAATTGCGTTTCAATTTTTTTTCTGGGAGTTACGCCCCTTTGAACTTATTTACTTTAATGTACTGCTGCAACAGTTTGTCATCGCAACTCCTCTCAAACCACACAACAGAATTTCATGAAACCTTTTCAGATAATAAGGACATACTACGTAGATGTGCATATCGACAGGAAATTACGATTCAATTATTTTCCCAGGAGTTACGCCCCTTTGAACTTATTTGCCCAATATACTACTGCAACCTTTTGTCATCGCAACTCCTCTCAAACCACACAACAGAATTTCATGAAACCTTTTCAGATAATAAGGACATACTACGTAGATGTGCATAGCGACAGGAAATTACGATTCAATTTTTTTTCCAGGAGTTACGCCCCTTTGAACTTATTTGCCCAATATACTACTGCAACCTTTTGTCATCGCAACTCCTCTCAAACCACACAGCAGAATTTCATGAAACTGTGTAGATAATAAGGACATACTATGTAGATGTGCATATTGACAGGAAATTATGATTCAATTTTTTTTTCTGATACAATTTTTTTTTCTGACACTTATTTTATTTCTCCTATGACAATGTGGGGACGTGGGGTATGTGAGCCCGCTCACTAAGGTTCTTTCATTATTATATATTTTTGTCCCATGTCATTGTCATTTGAAATGAAACGTACGAACGAATAAAAATATGAAGAAAAAACTTGTTATTTTGTATTTCTATTATAGTCCGGTCAGGTCATACTTTGTGTCCTTTCAACAAAGACGATTTTACCACAATTAGAATCTTTTATGACTTACTCAGTTAGCAATATCCGGTGCATTAATCATTATATTAAAATCACCTGGCTTAAAACAAAATGTTGTTTTTACGGTAACTCATCCTACCTAAACCACAGAGTTAATTTATCGGATCAACAAGTAAACTCTGTCATTTTCAATTTATTTTGCAATGTAAAATATTATGTTTCACTACCTCAGTAAATTACCAACTTGAATTATTTGAATTCCGAAAAGAAACTGTAAAGTGACAACTCTGTTGAACAAAGGGAATAACTTTTGTATGCATGCCCTTTATTCATAAAAACAAAATACTGAGAGAAATTCCTCGCCCAGGCACAACACAACATTCACAACTTATTTAGTTAATTAATCATATGAAAAAAAAAATCATGCGTTTATCTCTGTTATTGATCTGTAATTATTTAAATTAAAATTGGATGATCTCAATCCGTATTTTACTGCTAGTTAAAAATCCTTGGCGAAATGAAAAAAAATAATTATTTCAACAATTACTATAGAAAAAAAATCAAATATATATACGAAAAAATTTAAAATGAAATAATAACGTACGTGTACCCAGATACTACAAGAAAAAATATGTGAAAAAAGAAGTGGACAGAATTTTAACGATCTACGCATTTTCACAGAGGATCTCTACCAACGCCCAACTGAATGACATGCATTGTGTTTTCATCAATCATAAATTTATATTGTTGACCATGGACGTATAACTAATGTTCAAGTCTACGTCCTGTTTTGACTGATAAAATATTAAAAATAAAATAATTAAAGAAGACGTGTGTTCGTTTATTCGGAAAAGGATTATATTTTAGATTTCGGTTAATCAATTGTAAAAGGACCTTATAGAGCCTCAATACTAACGCACAAACCTGTCAATCATTAATACAAAGCAACTTTATAAACCTGAATGAATTTTCCCACGGTCGTTCAGATAGGTCACCTGAGTTTACCATGTTTACTGGTACGTGATATTATTTCCCGCCAAATAAAAATCTTGTGCTGTGGATAAAATTGATGTCCACTTTTTTTAGCATTTAATATTGTTAGCGAGGTCAAGTTCAAGTTCACACTGTTGATCACTGAGATGTGTATCGAGGAATTGTCTTCCCATGGTAAATTAATTTCTTTTAAAATCTTTTAAGATTACTGTCCAAAATACAACACACAAGTTTACATTCATTGTGCGTAAATAAATATTATGCAAAGACAAGTTTATGCAGCTCAGTGTGGAAGTATTCCTGTTGTAGCCGAAATGTATTGAATAACCTAAAGTAATGCCGTAGACTTATTAAGCATAACGAATGGTGAATAATATTTTCTTTTTTACTTGCATATACAAAACTTTGAGACACGTAATTTTCTTTAAACTGCTAACATTTATTCAGCGGTAGTTTCCGTTTATTTTTACACAAGTATATCCCTTTTGTAAATAAAATATTAATTTACCGGTGAAAAAAAAACGAGGTCAAAATCAAGTATAGTTTTTTTTTTATAAAACTATTCAATGCAATTGAAAGAATTAACAACAAAATTTTGCTTTTAAATCTTTTATTTGTTTCAAGCAATTAGATATATAACCAGTTACCTGATTATAAATAGACAGGAAATACAATTGTTTAATTACATAAGAAATTTCACATACCTTGACTGTTGTGTGCCGGCATAGATCAGAAGGATTAGGGCAATTAATTACCTGGTGTGACAAGGTGTGACACTGTGCTGGGAGAGATATCGCTAATACAATAAACAAAAGGTAGCGGATTTACACGGAAGTCGGAGGGAATACTCCCAAATTTCTCCGAGAATTTAGGGAGGGATATTGGAGTTTCCTGGTGTCACACCAATTATCGTGGTGTAGGGAGTTTTGGAACATGTTCGCTTTATTTGTACTGTACTGTAAATTCTGAAATTATTGCAAGGTTTTCATAATGCGAATAATGCGTCTGATTGACTATCACATATATAAGAACTTGCATTCTGATATCTGGTACCTGTATATATATCTGTCTGCAGATTTTCCTGAAATCACAATAATTAACCATGTTTTTTTGTCCTTTCTTCAAAAAATGCAATAATGAATTCAAGCAATAATTTCGGAATCTAGTATATTTAAATTATAGATGTCTTTATTCTTAATTTGTAACTCACCTGTAGATGATCATTTATTGAAATAACTGCAGAAGAGTATCATGGCTTTGTCTACTATGAACTACTTGTTATACATGATAAATAAATTAAGTACAAATGTAGAAAAATATTGATAAAGCAAAGCAAAAAAAGACCTTTTTACATGCTGGTCTTGAGTGGTTGAGGTTTTAGAATTTAGAATTAAGATTTAAAAGATTTAAATATATATTGCTATTAAATGAGCCTGACTGAATAGGTTTTATTCAGTTGGAAGTTGATCGTTCTTCAAATAGGCCAGAAATACCATACCAGTTATGTAGCCCTAAGTTTATGCTGATATGCCATTGTTTTTATATGAGTAAAATAAACTGAAATTTGGCCGTACTGTACTCTTTCAAGACATATAAAATATTTTTCTTACATATTGCTTTCTTTTATTTCAGTGTTTAAACAAAGATGGCGTAAAAATTGTCCTAGATGTTACCTATCAGTACAAAGTCAGATCTGCCAAACTAAGGGAGGTAATCCTTGACTTCAGGGATAAAGATGGTTACACTAAAGTTCTCAGATATGCAGGTATTGTATACAATATTACCAGAAAATGTTCATGCAGTCTTATACATGTATTTAATGAAAAAAATGGTGTTTTTTAAAAGTCTTCTACGAAGACATGATGGATGGATTGCTGTTTAATGTCAAGTGGCAAATTAAATGCATATTCTGGTCTTTGATTTTACTCCTTTATGCTTTGTGCTCAGTGGAGAAGCAAAATTTTTCAATTTTTGAAGTCATTGGGTCAATTGGCCCGGTTCTAAACCCAAGACCTCCCGCCCTCGAGGCAAACATGCTACCACGAGACCACTGAGGCATTCAATGAAGATATGAAAGTATTGAAAAGATTGCTATTGTGAATAATTCTTAATATTTTAAAATAACAAATACTTCATTGTTTATACAAATTTTGAAGATTTGTTGCAAGCAATTCAAAACATATACATGATATCATGGATATATAGTGAAAGAAATGAAAAAGTCCTTTCTCTCTGTTTAAAACACTGTCCTATACCCATTATTATACAAGAAATACCATATGTAATGATCACTTCAAGCATGCACATGTAAAACAAACTTAACAAACAAAATATATATGCTATGTTGCCTCACTTAAGACATTTCCTTAATATTACCTCCCATCTGTGTGTTTCGATGTTTGCCAACATTTAGCAAAATGTTATTTTCAATGAATAAACTATTTGAACATAATATGTTTTATTCATGAATATTTTTTTTCAGGGCAATCAGCTTTACATGAATCATGTAGCTATTTTAACACATCTCAGTTCCAAGCAGAGCGTGCCAACTTCCAGGAAAAAGTTAGAGAACAAATTGTGGGCAGATATGAAGAACTGAATGCTGATATTACCGATTTACAGGTGAGAAAATATAGCTTTCAAGGTATTATATGCTCCCTCTGGGAGTGGTGGCTATATATTGCATTCATTTTGTCTGTCTGTCCTTTGATCCATCTGTCCATTCATCGCATTAATATTTCAGTCACACCTTTTCTCAAGTATGACTGAACAGAGTGATTTAAAATTTAGTCAGGCGCTTGAAAGAGGCCAGCTGTAACATTTGAGCACTTTTAAGATCTGTCATACACCTGCTTCCTGCTTTCGAATACTTGAATTATGAGTGTGGGTATGCTTAGCATAACAATGCCTGCAATGCTTGTTTGTTTATACAGTACTTACAAAGAGATTCAGTTGTAAATCCCTATGAGGAGTGACTTTACATAGTTAAATATGGTGATGTTGGGGTGATTTCAGGTGCTCAGGAAGGTCAAACAGAATATAAATAATAATATAAACGAGAATAGACATATAAAAATAAAATTGACGAGAATAAAAACAAATATGAAAAATAGAATACAAATAATCATACGTGGTATAAATATTCTTACAGAATCAACGAAGCTTAAAACATAAGTTGACTGGTCAGGTTTCTAAAAATTATGATATACAAGTTCTTGACTTAGGACAGAAACATGCAAATATCGCAGAATTAAACTTGAAAAAGACCAGTATAACATTGAAAGAAATGTTTTTTGTACTAAATCACTTTTTTTGGTCTGTAACATCTTGCAAAGTTTAATGTGTAATAGAAATAGAAATTCTTTATTCATCAGTCACCATCCCTTGTGAGTTTGAAATTTCATACAATGATTAAAATTATTTTGTTAAAACAATGGTAGAATACAGTATAATAGAATGATGAACAGTAAGTGTACAGATTGAAATAAACCATTAATTTCCCCATAGGCGACAATCATAGCCTTTTTCGAGATACAGACTTTAGAAAGTTGATTTTTTTAACGAAACCTTGCTAGAATTAAAGAAAAGTTATTAGGACAGTATTTTTTGGTCCAAAAAATATAGGTTCGCGTTGCTTTTCTTAGAGTAATTTGTACTTATCTCCCATTTGCACTTAAAAATACGTGTCTTATCCTATCGTTTAAAAGACATCTCAGTTCCTTTAGGGCTAAGGAAAATAATTTATTTGGCCTTTGGTAAAATGCAGAATGCACAAAGTCTCTAATAAAAAAAAATAACGGGCGCACATATCAACCAATCAGGATTAGCTATACTCTTAATTCTGAATACCATGTTATGCTCATAAAATGGCTGCGCCCATAAAATCTAATTGTTTATTGTAACCTACACACATGAGAGAGACAATGTCAATAAGGAAGATAATCATTAAATAATAAAAGGATTACTTCCCTTTGTATATTAAATAACTACCTACTAACATCAGCTAAATTTGAAAGAAGCATTGCTCAATATTCAGGAAAATGTAACATAAACTTGTTGTTACATTTCATTTGTACATTTGTATGTGAAGTTGCTAAACAATATTCTACCTTTTTAGGTAAGTAACATTGCTCGACCATCTGAGTATGAAAGTGCCATTAGGAGTAAAGAAAGAGCCAGGGAAGACATTCAGGTGGCCAACAATGAACGTCCAAGACTTTTGACAGAGGCTGAGACACAGAAACGTGAAGCCGAAACACAGGCCAAAATTATTATAGACAAGGCAGAATCCGATGCTCGTATATTAGCTAACAGGTAAGAGAATATTGTTTTTTTAAAGTTCAAATCAAAAATACTGCATAGATGGTCTGGTGGTAGTATTCTGGCCTTAAGTGTAGAAGGATACAACTGGCTCCCTGGTATCTTGGTAGCAAGGTTGCCTTAGGTGCAGGAGGTTGTCAGTTATATCCTTATCCAGACTTTTAAATTGATATTTGCTGCTTCCTGCTAAGCCAGTAAGGGGAAAAACAAAGACTGGTTGATTTCGTAGTCAGAATAATGTCTCGGCTGACATTCATGACATTGTTAAATAACCTCCACCATGTTTAAATGTGCAGCTAAATTTGTGTAAGTTACCCTAGTCACCACCATTTTTGTTTTGACTACTACTGTGGATTCATTTATTTTTTGTGGGTATCAATTTTCGTGGATCGCTAAAAACTTGCATATTCGTGGATATTTGATTTCGTGGTTTTGCCAATCTCTGTATACAAAGCCTATTGAAAATATGTTATTCGTTGAACATTTGAATTCATGGTTCACCTGTCCGGACAAAACCCACGAAAATTGGTATCCAACGAATAATAATGAATCCACAGTACCTGTAATTGCAAAACCCCTATTGTATGATTATGAAAGGGCCTCCCAAGTTACTGTATAATTTCCCCTTGGTGAATGTCTGGCTAATGAAGGCTCATCACTTTTACCTTTGTCACCCCTGACATACCATTATACAATGTGAATTTTAAACAATATCAGTCTCAACTATTCATACAACAAAATGGATAAATTTAAATGGCATCATGCTGGGTTTTTGTTTCAGTGGAAGTTTCTCTATGGTTAAATTCATCCATTGAGATCCCTGTCAATGCCAACTTTCAACTCCTCTGTCGAGAGAAATTGTGAATGAACTACTCATATTAATGCATTTTCCAGAATAATAGCCTTTTTTATCCTATTTTAGAGCTACGACTGAAGCACAGGCCATTATTGCCCAGTATGAAAAAGAGGCTGAAGCATACAAGAAGATCGTTGAAGCTTCAGGACTTGGATTCACGATTGATGGTTTCATCTCCTATCTTGGTGTACGAGTAATCGCTGATGCAAAGAATCCTGTCTACATAGGCTTGGACAGCCCAGCAAAGACTGTTTATCCTTAAAATGTTTAACACATTGTGTATGTCAGATTTGTCTCCCCTTTTCTGCATCCTGTCAAATTGGAATATTTAATTTTTTTGCAGACCAATGTTTAATATGATATAAGCTTACAAAATGTGCAATAAAATGAGATGAAGATTTGGAAATTTAAAAAAAATATTAAATTTTGCTGTACAGTACAATACAAAACATTTTTTAAAGAAATATTTTCTGAAGAAGAAAACAAGAACAACCAAAAAATTTTTTGGCTTAAAGAATTAGGTATTTTGATATACCGTCTAAGCCTCTTATTGTCTCCCCCTAGATTTGGCAGACAAATTTGACATACTTTCATAAGTTTCATCTTTCTCAGGAAACTTGTATCATTCTGTGATCCTTACATCTCAGTTTTTGATTTATTCTTACATCTTGTTAATATTATGTAAACTGTTAAAATATACTTTAGCATTCTGCAGAGATTTTCTTTTGTTTTAGGTAAGTTTTACCCAATTCTTTCACTTTAATCATTTATCTTTGTTTTGTTTTAACATACTGTATGATTGATGAATGTGCAAAGAAATGCTGAATTTACAGTAGCTTAGTGCTAACAAAAATTACAAACTGTTTTGATACTATTTGATAAAAGATGTGCTACTGGATATGTTCTTTAAATAGACAAAAATAAGAAGTTTTTATTTCCCTTTTAATGTGAGTCATAATAACTTATAAAATCAGGGTATTAATTATCAACAAATTTTTACATATTAAACTTGTTTTAAATCCGTTTCTGAAACTCTCTTAGAAGATTTCAAATAAATAATGTGTGCACACGAATCCAAGAGTGTAAAATATGTGCCAATCATTATATATAATGTATATATTCAGTGATCCAATGACCTACATTGTATTGTTATCTAAAGAGATTCAAATATTTTACCAAGTACAAGGCATTGCTATATATAAATAAGATCAAAAGCTGGTTTGACAATATGATGAGAAACTCATATAAACTAAATATGACAATGAAAACTCCCCACCGACTATCAGTTTTAAGATGCAGGAATATTTGTTATAATTCAAGGAGAAATATGTTTTATTAGTGTTAGGGTAAATTAGTAGATAACATAGAGATATGACGTGTTTTTAAAGGAGATTTTGAATATGTTAACCAAAAAGATAAGGCATTATTTAGTCGTAGCTGTTGTAGAAAATATTTTTATTAGTTGTTGTATTCTTTTTAAAATACATATTTTAACAAGATTTGAGTGAAAATTCAGGATAAGTTTCACATGTGAAATATTGGTTTTTATTTTACTTGGAAATCATGAATTACAAATGTAATAATAGAAGTTTATATTTAACAAAAAGAAAGGAATATGTGTTACTTGAATCTTAAGTCAACTGGGAAATATGACAGTTATCTTGAATTTCATAAAAAGAAAGTATTTATCTTTTAGATTTCTGTCTTATTATTGTAATGTAAGTCATTCAATTGTTTACCCTTTCTACTTGTGTCTATAACCCTCTTAAAAGATTTGGGGCCTCTGTGGCCGAGTGGTCTAAGTAGTTACTACTGTAATCACTAGCCAGTCAACACTGAGGTTGTGAGTTCGAACCCCGCTCGTGCGGGTGCACTCGACTCCAATCTTAATTGAATAGGATTGTCAGTTTTCCTATCGAAGGTTGGTGGTTTTCTCAGTGCACTCTGGCTTCCTCCACCGATAAAAACTGGCCGCCACGAAATAGCCAAAAAGAGGTGCTTAAAAGTGGCGTTAAAACACCAAAAATCTAATCAAATCTTAAAAGATTTGCTTTCTCATTTATATTTCTAAGATTTACAAAAATTTCTTTGAAAGTTTGTAGTAAAAGACCTCTTTTTAAGATTTGTTTTTTATTTTTCATTTTATATGAGATTTTTAAAGTATTGCTCACTGTTTTTGTACTCGACTTTTCTTATTTATTAATTTTTGTTGGTGTTTGCTCCATGCATGTTTGTAAGTGTTCATTCTCTATTATTGTATGTTTTATGATGACTTTAAATTGTAATACATATTTTTTGAAAAAAGGGTGTTTTTTTCAGAGTTTGTATATAAAATGCTTCTTGTGTTTAATTTGCAACATTTGGGTTGACTTTTTTGTATTGTTTTGAATGGTGATGTAATAAAAAAGAAGTTATGTAATTTTGAAAAAAATGTATTGTGAGAACTGTAGCTTACTGCTTTGAAATATTATATAACCACAAGAATTAATTTTTTTGTGACTTTATACTGTGAAACCACTGTTGAGAAATCCAAGGGGGGATAACTTCAATTGCTTTGTTGTCTGAAAATAACAAAATTTATTATATACTTAGTAGTAAATACAAGTCATGTCATGATTTCAAAGGCTTTATCAAACCCCTAATCTTTATAAAGTCATGTCATGTGAAAAACATAAACTTGAGGTATATTTAATAATGTATATGATATGGCTTTTTCAATATCACACAATGTATCAACACCTAAGGATGGTCACTACTCATGTTTCAAAACAACAAGCCTTTTTGCAGACTTGTTATAAATTGATAGTATATAAATAAAGGAACTAAAAAAGAAGAAAAAAATTATGGGTCCGTGTGCTTGTTTTCGAGATATAAGCTATTGAAAATTTGGCTGGAAATGATTCTCTCTAGATTTTTCATACATTTAACATTGACACCTTTTTTCTTTCAAAAACTATGAAAAAATAACAAGGACTTTATAAGATTCTCAAAGATGGCATTTTAAACTATATGTAATCAAATTATGGAAGAAAAAAAATAAGATTTAACAGGCATAAATTTTAATGGCACTACATGGATAAAACCAGAGGATTCTGAATACCTTGCAAAAATTCAAAAAACAAGAGGTGCAAACATCCTTAGCCAATATAATCCCTGGACACGAGCTCTTGGAATTAAAATGGTGTCACTGGTTGATATGTATGTGATATTGAAAAAGCCATATTATATTTGCTATTTATAATTGAAAGTGGCATTATAACACAAAAGCACATATCAAGTTATTGTGAACAAGAATGAATAAGATAACTTAAATCATTCTGTCTTCTTCTTTAATCAAAAACATGCCTAATATTTCTAGGATATAACTTTGAGTTGAGCTGAACAATCAAAAGTGTGAATACTTTTATTTTTTTCTTAGTTCACACTGATGACTTGCTGTCAAGTATATTTTCTTACTTTACCCAGATGACTTACTGTCAATTATTTGTAAGGGCAATAACTCATGAAATCAGTAACACATTTCTAATCGTCAATTTTAATCATGCTTTTTAGTCACTCAGCTGGAAGAGATGTAAAATAATCTTTGTTAGTAAGAAGCTTAGAATACATTAATGAAAATAGTTGACATAAACATACCAGTGATTTTTAAGAGTAGAACTTTCCCTTACCCTAGTGTCTACCTCCTTAATACAGAAATTGATGTTTCAGATAACAATGTTTTTTCTGCAATTTGTAAAAAGTGCCTTCCTTTCCTTATTGCTGAGACAAATTCTGTAGATGATATATATTTTCATATTCTCTCACTTATCATTTATTCATGTTATAGGTATTTATGCAGTAGTAACCTTATTTTGAACACATTTACATATCTTCAATAAAAAACAAACCAAGAGGTATGGTGAGAGCCTTTATTTGGCCCCTAAAATTTCAAACTTGAAAGAAAAATGGTCTTTGTATATGAAATTTTTCAGCAAATTATCTTCTAGTTTAAATATTTTGCTAATATCTAGTTAATTATCACATATTTTTGGCAGATTTAAAGATTTAAAACAATATAAAATGCTTTAAGGTGGAAGGTTAAAAGTTGTAATGTTTGATTGATTTTTGCCTGCTAAATGTCCTGTGGCAATTATTTCTGTAATTATATTCAGGGCGACAAATTAGTGAATTCTCTTGTAAACATTCAAACAATCTTATTTCAAATAAACATTTGACTTCTAGAATTTTACATCCCAGGGGCCAAAAAGGTTTTTTTCTTCATTTTTATACAGAATTAGAATTGCTTCTCTAATGTATAAAGATTGTAATGTAGTAATCTGGCATTATTTTTAGAATACTAAAAGATATATGTATATATATATATTAATGTCTTCACAACACATTTAGTTTCGTTATACTTATCCAATCATTAGCATGTCTAGTTATATTAGTTTTTATGTTGTTATGTTGTCTGAAAGGGATGTGATGTACTTATGTCTTATAATGTAGTTCACGTTTTGTACCTGTCTGTAAAGATTTAGCAAAGTAAACAAAAAGTATTGTTTTGGTATCATTAAGCAGGAGTTTAGGTTTTTTTTTAAAGATAGCATCATATCATTCATTATAAACTATTACTAAATATAGAATAATGGAATTTTTGTTTTTGATACTGACTTAATCAGCAAGAATATCAAGCGAGCCCGTTGTGATAGTTGTTTGTTTGTTTGAATGAAGTCACATGCATTTCATTGATAAATTGACGCGGATGGACATGAACATGTGACGATGCTGCCCTGGTACATGACGTTATTGCCTAATATTTTCGAGTATATGATAAATCCTGTCCATAATCTTAACAAATATTATGCAGTAAGATCAAAGGAAAAATGTACAAACTAACAATTATTAGTCATATCTAGACGAAACATGTTTCTGGCTTATTAAAATATAATTCTGGTATCTTTGATGAGTTTTAATTATCAGTAAATAAATTAATTTTGGATGTAACACGTCTTCTGATTGGTTGAAAGTGTTTTGTCTATCAACTCATAGACATAATTTTGTCATGAGATAGTGGCGTCATCAACGTTTTTTTCATGATTTACTCCTTAAAACTGGAAATTAGAATTAAATTATAAGGAATGACTAATATTTTTTCTGTCTATTCGAAATAACCTAAAAAATGTGGTGCACACTTTTAGATAACCCGCTACATGGGTTATTCAGTGTGCACCACATTTTTGATGTTATTTCTTCAAAAAGATGAACCAAAATAAGAGGAGAGAAACAAATTTGAATACATTTTTAAGAAATGAAATTAAAAGTTTTTATAACTTTAATGTCTCTTAGGAAATAGATATGATAGGGTTAATGACCATGATCTATATTCAGTATATATCCGTCATTATGCCAAAAGTTATTTTATAACTTAAAGATAATCAAAATATCTTAATATTTATTTTTTGCTGAGATTGGTGACAATCAAATAGATCTTTTAATTTCAAAATTCAAAGCATGTTCAGCCAGAGGTACATCAACAAAAACGTTGAATAATGTATAATTTGTAATAAAAGATCCTATAAATGTATTGTGCAACATGTTGCTTTTGCCAAACAAAAGTACTAACTGAGCATACTCCATAATTAGCTGAGCATGCTCCATAATTTGCAGAGCAAGCTCTATGAAAGGTTTTCTGAATTAAAGGATGATCTTTTTAATCTATGAACCTATTTACACCAATCACCTCCATTTTGTAATAGTTCTATCATTTAACACCATATGGTTTAAAAGAATTGCAATTTTTATTAAAAGCTATGCTAACAGGCCTAGGTTGTTTCATTAAGGTATGTTTGGCTTTAAAGTCAATGATTTGACCCGTCAAAGTAGCACACATGTAATACCATTATATAAGTTAGTAAAATTTTCATATGATATTCATGTATGCCTCATTTTGGCTTAAGAGTCATTTGAAGTGCCAGTGTAGTTTGAAAGTTAAAATGAATATGACTGCTACCAACTAAAATATTTGAAAAAGAGTCACTATTTTTCAAAAGCTATAGGTTTGTTTTTAAGTACATACATTGTTATTTGTATGATTTGTTTCTATAGTAACAAACATAATTGTACAATGTATTACATTTTTATGGCAACATTTGTAGAACCATTGTAGTTTATTTATATTTTGAATAAACATTTTTACCTAACTAAACTTCATTATCCTCTAAAACGATGTTGAAATAGGAAAATAGTTTTGATATCGTACCTAATGTGTATTTCTTAATCCCTTTGACACAATTTTTATGAAACACCAAGTTGTGAACACTACTTGCATATTTAGGATGATAACACGTTTAATTAAATATATAAGGTTTCTATCCTACTAGTGCTAGACAATTCATGGAGTCATAACTTTGATTTTTTTTAAGGGAATGGCCATATAAAGATAGCAATATCTTGTTCTAGGACACTGAATAGCTTTACTTTTTCAGACAATCTTTTATTTTTATGAAGATTGATATGGATTTTTATAATCCTGTTATACAAGAAAATGGTACATACAAAACCTTTCGAGTGTTAACTAAGAAAAATGGAGGAATTTGTGCAGAAAAGCAGAGGTTTATAAGTATTCTAGGACATATGAAACACTTAAGTCTGGATTACAAAATTATAAGCCTGGTATCTTTGAAGAGTTTATAATTATTCATTTATATAGTCAGCAATGATTCGAGCGTCATTGATAAGTCTTTTGTAGACGAAATGCGCGTTTGGTGAACACAATTTTAATCTTGGTATCTACGATGAATTAATTTCCTATGGTGTTAGCGTTCCGGTTTTAAAAGCTGATACACATATGCCTGTGTTGAATAAAGAGAAAATTGATGCACATGGACAATGCCATGGATAATCAGGACATAGATTTTATTGACTTTTTTGTTCATTTATGTGTTAAAAAAAATTGATGCACATGGACAATGCCATGGATAATCAGGACATAGATTTTATTGACTTTTTTGTTCATTTATGTGTTAAAAACGTAGTTGTATTTGCAGTAAATTTCCAAGGCGAAGTAGGAACTATTGGTCTACTGGACTCCTTGCAAATTTCTGAACATTGTTAGTGTTTCTTGCAAACAGAAAAGAATTTCAATCGATGTAGATTCTCGCGTACGATTTTCCACATAATCTTGGAACCAGTAATTGAGAAATCCCTTCTGTTTGGACGAGAAAGCATAGTATAACATTTGTAGTGCCGATATCACAAGAGAACATAGTTTGTCCTCAGTCCAGTCGTCATCTCTAGGGTATGCTGTTTTCATTGCCAGAAAGAGCATCTTTAAATAGTAAGTCTTAAAAAGAGGCAAGGACTCTCTGTATTTCAAAATCTTTAAAGTATCTCCGAAAGTAGTTGTCTGTGAAATCAGTGTACCTGGCTCAGTTTTTGAATCGAATAGATCTTCACTGACCACATCAGAAGCCTTCTCTCTCAAATACAGAATCTCTATGTCATTTATTTTAGAAATGTTGGAACTGGTCGAATAATTCTGAAGACATTCAAAGCTGGTAGTCTGCATGCAACAGCCAACGCTACTTCCAGGTTCAGTCAACCCCTCATTATCATGTAAATCACTTGTCCTTTGATTTATGCCACATATAAGATTTATTTTGTCTGGGAAACTTGTACCATCTGAATTATGTTCATCAACACTTTGAGTACTCGTTCCATTATTTGTACATTCCATTTTCTGATCAGAATGATTCGGACGTTTTGGTTTGTATTCCTTATATCGGCTTTCTTGATTTTCAGATGGTGTTGCCACTCTTGTGTTTAGGGAAATGTTGCTTGACTTATTTACTTCTGATGTTTTGATGCTTATTTTATCATTTTTATCAACATAACGTGCTGGTGTCTTCATTTGCTCTTTTGGACAGACTATCAGATCTTTTACAGATATTGTATTTTCTTGTATGTTGTCACCATAAGCGACCTCGTAATCATTGGCTTCATGTTTTGTTTTTTGGAATACTGATTCAACACAAAATCTTTCCTTAAAATCTACTTCTTGATTTTCTGACTCCTTTGACTCTCCCTCCTCGTCATCGCCTCGGCTGAATAAGGGCTGGATGGTTAAACCACTTGTAGACATTATTGTTCTTGGTGGCTCATTACCTTTCAAGTGTTTGGATCCACTTTTTTCGATGACATCATCAGACTGCTGAAAGTGAAATTCCTTTAGAATTTTTAGAAGTCTATAAAGTGTCTTTTCTGTACTTTTGTGACTGTATAACGAAAACACAGCTTTTTCAATGGAGGAAAAAGAAATTCTCCAGGTATCGCTGTATTTATAAGTCCACGACGACTCACCTATTTTCTCTGTAGTATCAAAATCGAATGGAACAACACATATTTCTTCCTTGTCGCACAGTTCTTTCAATGTTTGAAGAAATTCGTTTGGATGTAAATGAGTAAGCTTCTCAAGAACTGGTGGAATATACATCTTATTTGGAAATGCGATGCCAGGTGCAATATCTATGTCAATTTCAACAATATCTGGCGTTGTATTGCAAATGTATGTCAAATCTAGTTTCGCACAAGGCCCATGGCGCAATGGTACCCAGTCATCATCGTATTCATCTCCACTGTTAAATCTGCTAGATGGAATAATATTTTCTGGTATCTCAATTTCAGACAGAGCAGAAAATAAAAGGTCTGAAAAATGCTCTTTAAACATCTGAACAGAAATTACTCCATCAGTATTGATAAAATCTTCAAATTCCTTCAATGTTTTCCTGTCCTTAACGGCCAGAAACACAAAACCTTTCTTTTGTTTTGCTTCCCGGGCCTCGAGAACCCCTTCTTTTGATAAAGAATCAATTCGTGCTACAAAGTCGAACTCATCTATTTCTCCTATTTTCGTTCCGTCATAAAAACTACCACCCTTGATAAGGGAAGACTTAAATCGTGCATCAATTTCTCCTACCTTTCGAAGGAGAGAAGTTATGAAACATTCTATACTTGTAACAATCTCCGTAGTTTTAGGATCGTCCACGGAAACACATTGTTCAAAATCGAGCGCATTACAAACGTTGGTCAATTCAATTTCATCGAGTGACAATAGACCAGAGGAAAATTCCTTGAATTTGTTAATGCTATCTTCATCATGAAGGTCCTCGTCCCAAATCCTATCTCTAATACTTGTATGGCCCAGCAAAGAATTGGAATTATCAACAAATTTCTTATTCTTATTAGGCAGTGCTATGCCCTTCACTTTCATAAAGGTTTCCATACTATCTAATCCAATCCTTTGTATAAAAAACTTTATTCTTTTAAATCAGTTGCTAAATGACTTCCTTGTTTTGTAGCATGCTCATGCATTGTGTATTGTAAATCAGTTCAAACGATAACATACACGGATATTATTATTTATTACACTTTGATCTGTCACATGATAGTCACACTATTTACATTACATGTACACATACGTTTTTGTTGGTCGTTTACTACCTGTCACAGGTGAATGAATAGGAGATAAACATTACTATGAAAAATAAATAAAGATAATTTGAGAATCAATAACTGTTTGAAATGAATAAATATAATTTGAGAAAGCGACTACTATATTAAATAAACATTTACAACTTGATAAATAAGGATCTGTATTCTTGTTGATTATTATCAAATATTTATGAAATGGAACTTATAATGAATGATTTTAATTTGCATGTCAAAATATATATACAAAAAATTATTATACAGTGGTTACTCAGTGGCAAAATGGAAAGATAATTTGACATCATTGACACATGCGGAAGTTTATCATTCAAGCTCTTAACGTGCCAAATAACCTTGGTAACAACTGTTATTTGTTGGACCGGTCGTTTGTCAGCTCAGTATTGATAATAAGGTTGTCACCTGATTAGACAGATTAAACAAAAAAAAAAACAAGTGTAGGGAAAGGGTTAAATTCTGTGTAACTCTCGGAGGATTAGTTTTAAAAATTTTCATAAGGTGTCGGTTATGAAATGTTGCAAGTATTTCATAGTATGCGTTTTAGCATTCAATCGGGAGAATTCTGAATTCTTAACCATTGGTGTCCTGTGCCTTTTTTTATATGAATGTACTTGAAAAAGAATTTTTACTATAGCTCATCTTTTTCGACAAAAATGGGAATCGGAGATACAAATATTCTGATTTATTAATGAAAAATCTTATATTGTGAATAAAAAAGTAAATTAACAAAAATACCGAACTCCAAGGAAAATTCAAAACGGAAAGTCCCTTATCAAATGGCAAAATCAAAAGCTCAAACATATAAAACAAATGGAAAACAACTGTCATATTCCTGACTTGGTACAGTCATTTCCTTATGTAGAAAATGGTGGATTAAACCTTGTTTTATGGTTAGTTAAACCTCTCATTTGTATGACAGTCGCATAAAATGCCGATAACAGCACTAGTACTACTTCCAAAAACAAATACACAGAAGATATCATCAAATGCTGGACTTTTTGAGCGACAGCTTATCTGATAAATTTAGGGGGTTGATATTTCAACAGACAGTTGGTGTTTCAATTGGTACTAGTTATGCACCCCTACTGGCCTTCTCAAAGACAAAAACAACCATTATGCAAAGTTGTTTAATTTCACTTTCAGATATATTGATGATGTGCTGTCACCCAATAACCCACTTTTCAATGAGTGCTTGCATCTCATATATCCCAGTGAACTTGAGATTACCGAAACTAGAAGGTCTTTCCCTCATTATTCTTTAGTTTTCAGATAGTCGGGTTTGCCGTGTTCGATTTCATTTTACACACAGACGTCACGTGATTACGTCATAAATCTATGCACTCTTGGTATAAATACAACATCGTGCACTTTCCATAATTAAGTGATTCAATTTTGATTGGTTTTCTTCACCATGATTTTTGAAATCGTTTTGCAAAGTTCACTCAATGACTGCTTCAAGTGATACCAGCGTAAGATCGGTAACGTGATTAAAATAAAATAGTGCTAGGATCATTCATATTTAATGAGGTAGGAAATATAAGCATTCTTTCTAAAAAAAATATACTCTGTTCAGTGTACATACTCTCTGGACCAAATCTTTTACAATATCGACACATACTTACCGAATACTAATGCAAACACCAACACAGAACTTTCTAGAAGAAATTATATCAGAAATGGAAATATATAATATGAACAAGGAAACATCAGCTCATTTTAACATTTGAAAAGTAAAAATTCACGTTCTGAAAAGGGAATTAAAGTAACTCGTTTCGATAACAATAAACAATGATAAAAGAGAGTTCCGAGACAATTACTGTTTCAAAGAGGAGGCTGAAAAGTCATATCACGAGACATTTTTCAATGCATCTGCCTAGATTTTCAAACAGGGGAATTAAACCAAAAAATTATGTAAATATTTCTTAAAAAAAAAAAAAAAACCCAAACTCCATAAAAACATTTTCAATTCGCCTTATTAAAAACCTACCATAAGGTGTCATCACTAACACATTGATGTTTCAAGCAGACGATGATGTATTGATCTAACAATGCATAGATTTTTGAACTTATCTCGTGACTTTTGTGTGTAAAATGAAATCGGACAGGAAAAATAGCAGAGAACTAAAGTATTCAGTCAAACAAAATCTGAAAACAAGGCCATACTTTCGTCTAAGGTCGAATATTTTTGTCTTACAAGAATGAATAAATTCAATAACACTTCACTACCATATGGAAAAGAATAAAAAGAATGTTAGTAGAAGAATACACCTGAAACTGTGAAAAGAGACGAATCGTGTAAGTTTTCACCTTCTATCTGTTTTAATGTTAAATATTTATATATCAAAACAACAATTTGACCTGATGTTGTCATAACGTTATACTTTTTATAATTACATCATATACAATGTACAGGTGTCTTAATTTTTTACATCAGTTTAAGGATATATTTGACATGATTCTATTTTCGCTTTTGTATGCTCGGGTGACTTCAATAACTGGGGATTTTTGAAGAAATACATCTTAATTGTTTGCATCCACAACTTGAATATGCAATTTGTACACATCCGCATTTGAGACCTTCCCATTATTTTTTAGAGACCTAAGCGGTGATATATTTTGTTGTTTTAAAGGTAAGACACTTTTTAGCTAATCTTTAAATAATGTATGTAGGAATGAAAGCAGATTTTTATTCAGAAATATACTAAATTGTCTGTTACAACATAATATTTCTGTGTTATTGAATTTCTTTCTAATAAATGATATTTTGAAATGAGATTGTGTTGGTTCTTTCGAAGTACCCAGACCTGCAAGTTTTTCCATTATTCTATAACGTCTCTAAAAGTTCACTACAGTAACTTGAAAACGTAAATACAAGTACACAACACTATTGAAAAGGTTAACCAAAGCCAGTTGTTGATTTAACAACTCAATGAAATGTACATCGCACGATGATGAATCAAAACACTGATGATCGTGATATGTTGGCACATCGCAAACAGACACTACAGAAAATACACAATTTGTAAGGTGCAGTCACCCAGAAATAAGTCATTGCCTAATATAAAACGCATTTACATATTTACAAACTGATCCATGTCTGAATGTACTGAATAAACTGATCATATATTCTGACTTTGGATCAGTGTTTCAAATAGAACCATAGCTTTTAATTTCGTATAAAGAGTATCTGATCATTTTTATAATTTTTCAAGTTCTTCAAGATGATGAAACAATTAATTGCCCTTGATATGTCTAAGAGATTACTTGAATTTAATATCCCAAGGTTTCTTATTAACATGTTTTGTGTATTTTTAACCCGCAACGTGCAGGGAAAATTATTGGTAATAAATAGAGGAGAAGTGTTAGTCTTCAAGTGAAAATTATTGGGTTATTGAGGTCAACCTGGATAACTGACAACATTGAAATCAAATAATTGAATACTCTTTTTTCTCCTTAGATCGGAAATCTGTATTACTATAAGGAAGACAACGTTATCAGTATTGCACATGCTGATTTGTCAGTATTGGGATGGATTTGACCAAATGATTTATTATCACTACAAACCAGTAAAAGTCTAAATTGGTCACTTTTTGTACTTGACTGTACTGATTTGTATGCGACCATTCTGAATTGATCTGAATTTTACTCGATATTACTTGATTGTAGTCTGACCATACAAAACTGTCTGTAGTCTGAACGCATACTCGACCAGGCTGAAACAGTCTTAATATATTCTCGACTTGTACTTAATCAGTTCTCGACCTGTTTTCAATGTCTAAACCATACTCGACCAAAGTTTGGACCATACTCGAACGAAGTCTGAACTTTACTTCCTCTGTATCAATTTTGAATGTATAACTATAATTTATTCAACAATAAACCACAATTTTTATATTGCGTTACTTACTTTTGCCTGAATTATGTCTTATATTCAGTTATTATACCTCATGGTCAAATTTCTAGTCAAGGGTAACACATCTTGTAAAAACAAACACTAAATAGAAAAAAATGAGAAAGATAGACTTACAAAAATGGTCGAGGATTGTTGAATTGGTAGAGTATCGTTCAGACTTGATCTAGTATGGTTTCGACTTGGTCGAGTATGGTTCAGACTTAGTTGAGTATGATTTGGACTCTTTGAAATGGTTAATAACTGGTCGAATACAAGTCAGGTTAATTTGTGCAGGCAATTGCATTTAATTTCCTATGATTTTATCATTGTTTTAGAAACAAGTCACATGACCAATTAATGCCTTTTTTATTTTTATATCCCTACGGTTTTACCATTAAGCAATCTATGAATGAAATATAGTTGTCAATTTCTGGTAAAAATATTGAAATAAAGCACATTTTTTTTCATACTTTTTGACAGTTAAAGGAATATCTGAATAATGGAGAAGATCGTACATAATCAAGTCATGTTACCTTATTAAAAATGTTTAATGAAACGAGACGTAACGGCACAACATTATGTGTCCATCAACGTTGTACGCACATTGATGACGAGACAATCTCATACATCTAAAGGAATCCCCCTCTAAATAGCCTGTAGTGATCCTTAATATAGATATACTTTAATAATCTTTTATACTCTGGAATATGTTAACAATTGTTTTTTGACAATTTGTCAATTTGTACAAGAGAAACAGATACAAAATGATCTGGGGAATAAAATGAATCCTGTATACAGGACTTATGAGCAGAAAGGACACCTCAAAGTGCTACAGTGATAATAACTATATGATTGCTTGTGTTATTCGGTTTTTATTTCGAAATACATGTTTTAAAAGAGAACCTAAAGACTTTGTTCCATTTCATAATGATAAAAGACATATACATGTTTATGAGTTACTTGTTGGCAAATAACTTTCATATGAATATGAAATTATTAATAATTTTTTTTCTAAAAAAGGTCAATTTTTTTCCCGGGTTATCATTTTTGCGATTTCAATGCATAAATGTTTCAAGGAGGTGGGGGTAATTCGTGCATCTACATATTAGTACACGCTTTACCTTATGAGCTTGAAAGTCCCATTGGTATCTTTCGCCTCTCTTTTATGTCAATATTTTTTATTTGAACAATCTATTAATTTGGATCATAGTTTGAAAAGTCTTAAATAATTGATTTCTTATATCTTGGGAAAATAATGTGAAGAACCTTTAACTAAGCAAGCAAGCAGTCATACTGCTCATCCTCATATAAATCATGATTATGATTAAGACAGTAATATTGCTTTCAGCCATTTTTTATTAATAAGTATTACCTTGACCTTAGATCACGTGACTACACAATCAATAGGGATCTTCCTCTACATCCTCTTAATATTTATTGCCACATATCCAAATAAGGTTGCAATCACATATGATGTGCCCTTTTTACAAATTTTAGTTTTTAGGCATTTAGACCGTGATTTAAATTTGACCTTGGCTGTCATTAAATGTGATGATACATTCAAGTATAATTGCAATACCTTAATTATGTTGTTTATGTAATTTAACACAAGGAACCCGTTTTTTGTACAATTTTTAGTAACTATGACCTTGACCTTATACAAAGAGACCCCAAAATTATTAGAGATTTACCTCTCACTATATATGACCATATATATCTAGGTACGATTGTAATTCCATATTAAGTATTTGATTCACCATTCGGAAACAAGTTTTCTGTCCAAATTTCAGTATATCTTTTGCAACTATGACCTTGACCCTTGAAATAGTGACTTCAAAATCAACAGATATCATCCTCTTATAATATGTGATAATCCCATATACAGTATTTGTTGTGACATCCTGTAACCACCATTTTGGAAGAAATTCGGTCTATTTTTAGTTATTTTGATCTCACCTTTGTGATGTGCAAATTTATAGAGTTCATCCTCTCATTGTATGAACACATATATCAAAGTATATCAAAGCAAGGATGCAATCAAATATAAACGTTTTGAGTTAGAATCCTAGACTGATGAACTGAATGACTGACGGACTGGTCAAAACTATATACCCTGTTACTCCGTAGCTAGTATCTATAGCTATATGAAATAGAAACACAAAACATGTTAAGTTCACCTTAAATATATTTTTTATTCTCTTATAACATTTTTTAAAATCATGCTATGGCTGTAGACCACTTATGCAGGGCCTCTTAGGGGTATAGTTTGACCAAATGAGAATATATGGGAAGAAAAGTTTGAATTAGAAAATGATACGCTTTTAATACAACATATCAAAAAGCATAAATCACACTCCGAGAGTATCATCAGTCCAGTAGTCAGCACTTCTGTGTTGACAGGATTTATCATAATTATAAATAAACTGATTATAAAACTATAAATTTTTCGAAATACTAAGGATTTTCTACCCCAGGAATGGTTACCTTAGCTGTATTTGACAAAAACTTTTCGAATTTCGGGTCCTCAATGCTCTTCAACTTCGTACTTTACTTGGCCTTTTTAATTTTTTTTGATTTGAGCGTCACTGATGATGAGTCTTTTATAGACGAGACGCGCGTCTTGCTTACACATTTTAATCCTGGTATCTATGATGAATTTATTTAATATGGATCAAGGAAATTTGCTGATCTTCTCCTTCTACAGTGTTCATTGTACATATAACTAATCGTTGACCAATTGGTTTTGTGGATCTTCCGAATGGTTGAAAAAGTAAATCCAAGCAGAATGTTTGTATTACCAAGGTAAAATGCATGGGTAAATAAAAGGTTTTTGTTAAATTTGTTGCATCTGGGAGGAGAGCGCAATAGTGTCCAGTTAACACATTTTCCTCAATTCATAAAATTGTTGATTAAGTTAAATCATCTTCGGCAAAAAACAAAAATGATACCTGCGTGTCCGCTTTAATGTTGAAAAGTTTAGGATCGATAAGTAGGCATATCGTTTTATCTTTTAAATGTTTCTAACTGATTTCAACAGGAGATATAGTCTGAATTTAATAATGCTTGCTCACTAAATCACATTGCCTCCACCATGTCCATACTGTTTGTTTTGGAAGTATGAAATCAATTAGTAATGTTTTAGTTATTTGTTTACACCTATTATATTTTTACAGAATACATAAAACAAGATGTGTAGCTGTAAGTGCATTATTGTCACTGTCATTGTCCTGGTTGTAATTATCACGTTGATAGCAGTAGTAGCAACTTCACTCAAGAAACTGGCATCAGACGAAAGTAAGATGAAAATATACTGTTATGGTAGCTTGGGTGTTTAAATGTTCGATAACAGATTTTTCTCAAACTTATGTAAAAAAGTTCTGGGTCATTGTGCTTTCAAATTTCGATATGAAAACTGTAGGTCACGGACCTTGGTATTTTGTTAAATACATTGAAATTAACGATATCACATTTATTTTAGATGAGTTATATAGGGGAAAGTTAAGTTTTTCCATATTGAAAACACATTAAACGATAGAATTAGTTGAAATTAAATGAGAGAATTGCTTTTCATAAATACTGGCGGTTTTAAGATATTTTTGTCTTTTTGCGGATAGTGTAAACAGAAAGAAACTGTAAAAACAGAAATGATCACGTTATCAGAATAATTAGATCTATAAATAAATCATATCATCGAAATCGTAAGTCTTCTCTTTATGGGATTTACTGCTCCGAATGACCAACCGAACGATCACCATATCAGACCTATAAACACACAAAAATGACAAAAATTGTCAGTCGACTGCATATTGGAGTTAAATGATTTTGACCAATTTAAGCGTTTTACCTAATTTCCTAAAATATAACTAATAATAGCAAAACAATATCTACTAATAAGTCAAAGTAAATGAATCTTCAATCGACTCCTCAGTCCAACATTTGGCACATGTAGTTTGTTTTCAAGCCAAATATTCTTATATATATAAACAAGTCTAAATTGAAAACAACGTTCTATCCTATGATTGCGTTGGATAAAAACCGCAATTTTTATACGTGTGCATGCAAAACAAATTTCTTGGTAGAGGGGTCTAAATACAGCACAAATAACATTTTTCAAAAGACCAAATGAGTGAAAAAGTATATATATGGTATACCGCAAACAAAAGGTGCAAAGGTTTTTGTACACCATATCCGGATTTCGACAATTAATGTCTCTTCAGTGATGTTAGGAATCGAAACGGTATTTGGAAGGCCATATAATTTACCTCAATTTAGGATAGACTCTTGAATTTTGAAAGAGTCAAAATAGGATGAACGGATTATATAAACCCGAAGGCAAATATAATACAAGCCCAAACGAAAAAATATAAACAAGTCTAAATTGAAAACAACGTTATATATATATATATACATAGATATTGCAATGTATCAATGTTATGCAAATTTACCAGGTGATCAATACAGGTTCCCCCGAGCCTCTACCTGCTTTTTGAACGAAAGAACAAATAAGTCATAAGAAAATTATTTACAAAAGCAAATATTATAAGTCATTTTCTTTTTATATTTATAGTTGGTATAAAGTACGATACAATTCTGAAAAAGTTAGAAAATACCACAGAAAGAGAAGGTTTACACACAGGACTTCCAGGATTTAAATTCATCAAATTTCCAAGTGTATACACATCACTTACATTCAATCACCTAGAAGTAAATATTATTTTTTTATTGAATTATAAAATATGGTCATGCCTGGACTCTCACCGTCCTGCAGTAAATGCTTAAGAGGGACTAAAATGGCCTGTGTGGGATGTTTAAATACGCAGCTACATCTAGACGTAATGGTGACGTTAAATCCGATGACTTGTGTAGGTAGATTGCACCACTCTTTACATGTTACCAAATCCTCACAAAAAAACTTCGTGATATGTAGGTGTCCTCTTGCAAGGCAAAATGTAAGCCCCTCTTTTTCAAATATCTGTCTAAACTTTCTCTCCATTCATCCATGGTGAACCACAAGACAGAACCAATTTTTTAAATATATTGTTCTCGTCTAGAATATAAAGAAACTATTTTCCACTGTTGATATATTCAATCAATTTACTTTCGTTACCACCTTTACAAATTTGTGGTTGCGTGCGCACCTCGTGGGCCATAGTTTGTTATCTTTTAAAGTTTGTTTGCTGTTTCTCAGCGTAGTACATCTAAGATTGCTCATTTTATGATTTAAGATGTAAGTTGGGGCGTCATTGCTTCCTTGTTGTCTCGCATGGTGAAACAAAGCCAGATGAGCCATGTTAGATGCACAATACATAACGGGGTTCATTTCGTTGTCGCATTCTTTACATATACATGTAGCTTAAATATGACCTGCTAGAAACAAGACATATATCTATACGTGTATAATAGCTTGTTTCAATATGTATATTTAGTTTTTATTTCATGAATAAAATCTGATAATGGGTTGATTTCAGTAAGACAGCAGCGAAACAAAACAAGTCTTAAATGAAACCAAAAGGAATTTCAAATGATCTGATATCAATACTGATAAAAAACATAATAATCTGATATCAATACTAATAAAAAACATAATAATCTGATATCAATACTAATAAAAAACATAATAATCTGATATTAATGCTAATAAAAAACATAATAATCTGATATCAATACTAATAAAAAACATAATAATCTGATATCAATATATATCAAAAGACATAATAATCTGATGTCAATACAAATAAGACATATAATGATCTGATATCTTTACAAATAAGGGACATACTAATCTTATACCAATACAAATAAGACACATAGTGATCTGTTATCATTACACATAAGGGACACACTAATCTTATATCAATACAAATAAGAAACATACTAATCTAATATCTTTAAAAAAAAGATACGTAATATTCAGATATCAATACAAATAAGGGACATAATAATCAGATAGTAATACAAATAATGAACATTATAATCAGATAATCATATCAGAATTAGAGCAAGACTTGCTCCCCTTTCGTTGGAGGGCTGCGTTCGCAAATTCCTTCATGAATCAGCCAAGCTCAACTTGTTATACTGATTATTAGACTTTGTAAAAAAGTGTTTTTCTGGACAGTTTTTATTTCTTTTAGCCTTGCTTAATTCATCATTACTATCGAGTAAGGATCTCTTATCAGACTTGTGTGTATCCCATATTTCAATTTGATTAGTCAAATGAGAAAATCAATCGTTTATCCCTCCAAAATGGCGGTCAGGGGAAATAACTCAAACTCAGATTACGTTATTCGAAACCTATCTATTCCAAAGAATTGAAAAGATTTTACAAAGGAGATTGAACTTGAATCAAAAGTAAAATGACAAAAATATCGAACTACAAGGAAAATTCAAAACGGAAAGTCCCTTATCAAATGGCAAAATTAAAAGCTCAAACACATCAAACGAATGGAAAAGAACTGTCATATTCCTAACTTGGAGTCTTTTCCTTCTTCAAGTTGAAATATTATATGTGAAATAAATGTACAGACCCTTTATAGTCTTTAAGGTAATTATTTCTGTAATATTTTACTGTATTCTGTTTCAGAGTTTAAACAAAGATGGTGTAAAAATTGTCCTTTATGTTAGCTATCAATACAAAGTCAGATCGGACAAACTTAGGGATATCATTCTTGAATTCAGGGATAAAGATGGTTACACGAAATTTCTCAGATATGAAGGTATTTTGTACGAATTATTAGAACATTTCACGCAGTCTCATTTTCACATAAATGAAGTTCTTTTGTAACAATTTTATTTCTTTTTTCCCTTTAGACATTATATGAATGATAGCGAAAAAAGCTGCTGTGGATATTTCTTGCATTTTACGTTTATTTTTTACTTCGACACTTCATTTTTGATTAAGTCATGACGATTGGTTGCAATGGATTAACAGTTAACCTCAACTATGAAATGTAAGAAAGCAAAATGTCACCACATACTTTTTCATTTTTTTTAAAAGACCCAATAAAGGACATTTTTTATTTAATGGTAACTTCAACTATATATCAACGAAGATAAACAGTAAATATGGGCGAAACTCCTGGTAAGGAATTATGTTTGTATTACCACACAATTTTGTGCTTCAATGAACAGACGTAGCTTCAATGACATTAAGCAAAGAATTCCGCTTAAATTAGTGCTCAGTAGTAACCGTCTTGACCTTGCAGTGAGGTGTGAGTTGGTTGCCACATGTGGAGCAGGATCTGCTTACCCTTTCGGAGCACCTGAGATCACCCCCAGTTTTTGGTGGGGTTCGTGTTGCTTAGTCTTTAGTTTTCTATGTTGTGTCATCTGTACTATCATTTGTCTGTTTGTCTTTTTATTTTTGGCCATGGCGTTGTCAGTTTGTTTTCGATCTATGAGTTTGACTGTCCCTCTGGTATCTTTCGTCCCTCTTTTAAAGGCTTTATTGTAACTTTGTGATGACGAACTGCTATGAAATCACTGTTCCTAATTTTTGCAAATTGTCCAGCGCTTTAATGGATTTTGTGTCATGATTTGATGCACAATGGATCCATTCTACTCCATAATACAATGATTAACTAGTTATACGAGTGTAAAAACCTCCTCTGGAAGCAAACCACAGTAAATAAAGGCAACAGTAGTATACCGCTGTTCAAAATCATAAATCGATTAAGAGAAAACAATTCCGTGTTACAAACTAAAACCAAAGTAAACACATCAACTATGAGAGGAAAACAACGGAATAACAGAAACACTGAACTGCAACAAAAACAAACGCCAACATACTTAGAAACGGACTATTTGATAACAACTGCCATATTCCTGACTTGGTACAGGACAATTTATGAAAAAATGGTGGATTGAACCTGGTTTTATGGCTAGCCAAACCTCCCGCTTATATGGCAATGTTAAAAAATATCGCTAAAATGACAACACTACGTGACAGAAATACGATACAAACAAACGCAAGAACACTCAGCACGGAGAAATACATAACTAAAAAATATAATAGTACATAAAACATGTAAACCGCAGATAACAACGGACATCTCCCATTACCGACAGCACAGGACACCACAAACTGCGCGTCACATGAATGGATTAACGCCACAAAAAGTGACGTATTTTTGTGACAGATATATAAACTTGAAATTCATACAATTATATGGAACGAAAAATTCACAATTATTTTGATATTCTAGTCCAAACAATTATCATGACTATGACGGTCTTGAAAGGCTATTTTAAATTAATGCTGTGACGACGTCATAATTATTTGGACTACCACAATACTTAATCCATGGACAATGGAAATTAACTCGACTATACTGACAAATAAGACATTTGTGAAATGTACCGAAAATACAGAATTCAAAACACAAACGATAAGAAATAACACAATATCCAAACGTACTTTAAACAATATATGAATTGATCATAAATATTGTAGTATTATTGAAATCTAGCAAAATTGTTCCTCGCAAACCGACACAAAAGAAACATCATAACTAAATACATGAATGTTGGATGCATAAATAACGAGACACGTCGTATAGCAATGCGAAATCACACTCGGTAAACCACAATCTAAGACGTGGTAAACATATCAATATCTTAAATGTATAACTTTTTTTTAAGATGTAGCAACCTTTATGAATAAATATTTCTTTTTAAGGAGAATCTGCTATTCATGAGTCATGTAGCTATTTTAACACATCTCAGTTTGCAGCAGAGCGTGCCAATTTTCAGGAAAAGGTCAAGGATCAAATAATGGTCAGATATAAAAAAGTAAACGCAGAAATTACAGATTTGCAAGTGAGTGGATTTTGTTAACATTTTGAAATATATATATATTAATAAAAGGAGATGATTATAGATGAGACATAGAGCCCATAGCACAAGTTCAAAAGTTCAACATAGACTGAATCATCCCAAATGACTGACAAAGATAAGAACACTCTTTTTGAATATAACTGCTGACAAATACAATAAACTCATACATGTTAGAAACCACTCTTTCTTCTGTTCAATTCACATCATTCCAAACCCAGAAAAACTGTGCTTTCGGCGTTTATGACCAAGAGCAAAGACGGGTCTAGGTAGGCTGACACGTCGCACTTCGGATTATACCTTTATGAGCTAGCTAAGTGTCTTTCTACTATAAAGCAGTGCGCATTTAAATCATGTTAATCAGCATGTTACCAACCTGCACCAACCTGTATATAGATATAAGAAGATGTGGTATGAGTGCCAATGAGACAACTCTCCATCCAAGTCACAATTTGTAAAAGTTAACCATTATAGGTCAAAGTACGGATTTCAACACAGAGCCTTGGCTCACACCGAACAGCAAGCTATAAAGGGCCCTACAAACGACTAGTGTAAAACCATTCAAACAGGAAAACCAACGGTCTAATCTATATAAAAAACGAGAAACGAGAAACACTTATGAACCACATCAACAAACGACAACCACTGAACATCAGGTTCCTGATGCATGTTATATTTACCGTTGAACGTTAGACAAACATCAATCAGTCTTATGTTTACTGAGGAGTATACATAGATATAGTTCAGAATGAATCACTCTCAATAACCAGTATTCATCTTCAAGATGGATCTATTTTACTGAATCACCCTGTTTTCACTGTATGCACATTAATTGTGCATAACAGTCTGAATCATCCTATTTTCACTGTATGCACATTAATTGTGCATAACAGTCTTATTTCATAACTCACATTAGAAAAATAACTTATGTTGCCCACTTGGATTGATTTTGATTTCTACACGCTACAGAGTGAAAATAGATAATAACTAACGCATAATCATCTGCGGTACAACTCTTATTGAATCTGAATATATTTAAACGGAGTATTAGCAAAGAAAGGACATGGGTATCCATCAATGATTCAAAATCAGTATGTGCACAGCAAAAAAACACAAAAAGCAAAGGAACAGCGCTTTTATTGTTATTCTTCATCTCAAAGTCACATCGAGGCCTTCAACACGGTGCAAACAAACTCTCACCTAACAGTAAGTTTAAGACGGCCCCTATCACCGGATTGAGCGGAATTGACTGTTTTACTGTTTAATTCCATGTACAATGATGTAAAGGTGTTTATATTTGACAAAAGTAGAACTACAATACTGCATGAAGTGCAATACAAATTTTGTACTGAATAACATTCACCAGTTCTCAAGTTTTAATGCATATATTAGTGAGTGCAAGAAACATCAGATAATTAAGTTAAAAATCACTATTGTTAGTTTTGAGTGAAACATGGTAATTGCTGATGATTGCCAATGACAACACTATTAATTAATCACCATTTCATATTAAACTTTGGGATATTTAGAGAGAAATTTTAAATTACAGCCCTAAAATTCACCAGCATTCACGCTTCAAAATCACCACCTAGATAGTTTAAACTTAGCCACCGTGTGTGTACTATAACCCTTTTGGTATAATACCGTCATTCTTTGAAAGTAATATTGCACTGCAATCAAAACCAAAGAAATTTCACACGTAATTTGGCAACCATCCACATAGCATATGATGTTGCTAAACAATGGTATATATTTAAGGTGAACAACATTGCTCGACCAACAGAATACGAGAGTGCCATAAGGAGTAAAGAAAAGGCCAGAGAAGACATACGGGTGGCTAACAACGAACGTCCGCGACTTTTGACAGAGGCTGAGACACAGAAACGTGAAGCTGAAACAAATGCCAAGATTATTATTGACAAGGCAGAATCTGATACTCGTATTTTAGCTAACAGGTAAGAGAACGTTTTATAGAAGGTAATTTTGTCATTTTCACCTGCCTGTTGTGAGCAATTATTTCTTTTAGGAATGCAAAGATGACTGAATTGTAAAAGATAAAATCAAAGAAAATACTTTTAAATCTTATCGACACAAGTGTACAAAAAAAAAGACTTCTAAATGTCAACAATAAACGAGTGCACAATGGTAAAGGCCAACCTTATCAATCGCACTAGGTAAAGCGATTTAATGATTGATGCTTATTACTTTTTTATTATTATTTTAGAGCTGTGACAGAGGCCCAGTCTATTATTGCCCAGTATAAAAAAGAGGCTGAAGCGTACAAGAAGATCGTTGAAGCTTCAGGACTTGGCTTCACTATTGATGGTTTCATCTCCTATCTGGGTGTACGAGTAATCGCTGATGCAAAGAACCTAGTCTACATAGGTTTGGACAGCCCAGCCAAGACTGTCTATCCTTAAAAAAAATATACATTGTCTCCCCATGCGTGCATCCAGGCAAATTTAAGAATTGTATTTATCTGCAGTGATTAGGATTATATAATGTGCAATAAATAAGATAAAGATTCGATGATGATGATGTATAAATTTGACCATTTTACTTTAAATACCAAAACGTAAATTAAGTAAAAGATTTACGATATAAGAAGTGACTGTAAATGAAAAAAAAAACACTACTTATTTGTTGCATACGATGAGCTTTTATGGATTTACCTTCATCAGGAACGTCCAAACCAAAATATTTGAAAGTCAGAGATGTATAAGACCAAAACACAAGAGGAGCTATTTGACCAAACGGGACCCAACACAATAGCCAAATTTATTCAAGGTCAACTTTGACAGAGGGAGTTGGAAGTTTCTTAATAGTTTCTTATTCATCAACGTTTTATTAAAGAAAAGTTTGTTATAAAAAAAAGTTGAATAAGTTTTCAATTTATCAATTAATTAATCCATTTTTTCTAATTAGGCAGAAGTACTTGGTACAACATTAATAAGGTTTATGGTTTTTGCAAATGCACTATAACGTATTTTACACTACGCGATGATCTCTTTAGAAATAAATTTGTCATTTAATGTATAGGTGAAACATTTATTCAGAGTTGGCGAAATTTGTCTACATATAGTCTTTCAAGAACACTTATTTCTTTGATTTCTTTTTTTACATTCGTCACAACTCGGCCGATTCCGTACCTTCATGGAGAGTAGCGGATACACCCGAGGATTTCCGATAGCTTTTTTTAATGAACATTTTCATGTTCTAGTTTTCGAAAAACAGCCTTTTAAATTTGATACTCCACTTATGAATATTCATCTTTACGATTGTTAACTAATTTTGTTATTTGATATACCCCTAAGAGTGTAAGTTCCATGGGTATATCTAATGTTCATCAGGATTTTATGTCTAATGCAAAACGATATCTAACAATAATTTAGAAGGGAGACTTTTCGTTAATATGACTTTAGCATACAGCATGTCCATTGATAAATGCAGGATATCCCTAAAAAAATAATAACATCACAATGTAAGTTCATTTATTTTCATTTTGTGTAGTTCTTTGGATAATTGAAAAATTTGTCATACAAGTCTTTAATTAAAATTATGTTTGAATTTCAATTTGTGGTCCCCATATACCCTGTGAACATACAAAAGCAGTACTGCACAAACACAAATGAATCCAAAGTTATTAAAGGCGAAGTATACGTAATTGCATCTCTAGCGGAGTCCAGGATGAATAACAAGCGACGTTAGTTGCGCAAGTTATCTCCCTTAATCGAAAAAATAGAAATGGCTAGACAACCGAGAAAAGATTTCGCGTGGTTTATCTTGAGTACATACAAGTATGCTTGTGTTATACTAGCTAGCTACTACTCTAACAACATAAAGATGTTAATACCCATTCATTCTTGGAACTTGATCTAAAGAATAACTACTGACGTGTAAATTTATAAATCTTTACTTGTATGTGCTGGCATTGACCAAAAGTACATGTATTGTACGTCATCCGTTTGACCAATTGTTTGTATAATGTCACTTTATGACACTTTTCTAATTTGCCTACTGATGTGATAATACCAAAACATTGAATAAAAAAAAGTTTATAACATGTATCGATTAGAGCAACAACTGTCACAAAAAAAAACATCAAACAAACAAAAAACACGTACGTCTGGACTTATCGAAGGGCGTACTGACGGATCCAATTAAATTATTATGTTTGATGAATGTGTTTTTACGACTGTTATTGGCAAAATATCAAATAATAAATGCATTTTGAGGGTTTCCATAACATTAAGTCCATCATGGTATAACAGGTAACGTGCAATACTAGCTACTGATCCCTACCGACAAAATAGTAATGAAAATGCACTGATTTCACGGCCAATTAATTTTTGAAACTTGATTTAAAGAATAACTATTCACATGGAAAATAAAAAATCTTCACATTTATGTGCTGGCATTGGCCAAAAGTACATGTATTGTACTTCAACCATTTGACCTATTGTTAGTATAATGTCAGTTTATGACACTTCTCTAATTTGGCACCTGATGTGATAATAACAAAATATTAAATAGATAAATAGCTTATAACATGTTTCGAATAGAGAAAAAACTGTGATAAAACAAAAGATAAAATAAAAAGAAAGAAAAAAAAACAAAAAAACACGTACGTCAGAACTAATTTAAGGGCGCACGTGCGCACAACGTATGTTATTTGACTGTATTCCATCAGGTAATTTCGACAATAAAGCTTGACATCTCATAAGAATGACATTTTTTTTAGAACAAATTGTTTTATATATTTCTGAAAAAAAGACAAATATCAAATTAAGGCAGTAGTTAATCCATCTTCAAGTCTCTAATTGATTAGGAATAAAATCACGGCAAAAAACAAAACCTGCGAGATTTTGATTAACTACAAAAGGAGTTGGACTAGATGCAACAACTGGGTAGGTGTCTCCCGTTATGATTTCATCCATCACCATATAAATCCACACTCAGTCAGAATGACGCAATCACGAATAGGTAACAATCGGTCTTAGATCCAAGAAACATGTCACTAGTGAGTTGAGACACATACATATCGTATCCGTCAACAAATCATGATGGTGGCCGTACAACTCTACAAAAACTGCTCCAACATAGTTACTACCAATCTTGACCAAAAATTACCAAAAGTTACCAATTCTTCTTCATAACTGTGTTGAAGCAGTTTTTGTGTAAGGATTACACCCCAGCTAAAGATTTCCGCATCGTTCTAACTTTCCGCAGCGAAGCATATCAATTGATTAATGAAAACGCAGTACGATGTGCAATATCGTATTGTAAAACCGTCAATGATTAGTATTCTTGTAAGCATGTAGCGTTTGATACAGGAGAAACAGTATCAAATATCATCAGATATATCTGAATTAAAATTATGTCACTTAGTTCAGTAAAAGAAAATTACAAGATCTATGATAGGATTTGCTGCTCATGAGAACCATAAACTAGTTATTGATGATGTCCTGGTACTCATTTCAACGAATGCTTTTATCGTTGTCAATATAATGGAATTTTATGCGACTGTCATACAAGTGAGAGGTTTGGCTAGCTTTAAAACCAGGTTTAATCCACCATTTTCTACATAAGAAGATGCCTATACCAAGTCAGGAATATGACAGTTGTTATCCATTCGTTTGATGTGTTTGAGCTTTTGATTTTGCCATTTGATTAGGGACTTTCCGTTTTGAATTTTCCTCGGAGTTCGGTATTTTTGTGATTTTACTTTTTATCTCATTTATCCAATGAACTGGAGATCAAATCAAGGATACTATCAAAAATAGGTCTGATATATATATATAAAACTTTTCCGCGATATTGATTTAGATGGAAAACTTCAAACTAGAATATATGACAAACGTGAGGATTTCAACTTTCCAATTCTCTACTTCCCACTACGCAGCAGTAACAAAGACATGATTTGCAGTTTTTATACCTTTATTTGCCGGAATAGTAGTCAAATGGGGAAATTTACCGATTGTGATCTAATCCTGATTGTGACATTTTGACTTAAGGTGGTACCCAACACCTTGACTAATATTAATTTGGCTCGTTTAATTTTCATAAAATTTTGACAAAATGTTTACTTTGACCCTTTGACAAAAATATAAAAATTTCAAAAAATTTGAACCAACCACTTTATCAGAAAAATTTCATTGGTTATATAACAGTTTGACAAACACTAATTTTGATCATTGAGAAGCTTAATATTTCCTTAACAATACAACGTAATTTAAACGTTTAGCTGATTTTTACAAAGTTATCTTCCTGTAGTGGTAGGTACCACCTTAATTATAATTCACATAGCGTGTGATGCATGAAAAGTATATAGGATACTCCCGTTTGAAGCACACGGCATCGCTTTTTTTGGAATTCCGGATTCCTTCAACTTTTGTTTGTTACTTGAATTGTTTCACCTTAATTAAGGCAAGGAAAAGATTTGAACATTAAACCTTGGTCAACTACTGTAACAGTTGTGTAAGTTTTAATGGTTTTACTGTCTGATGCTAAAATTTGTGATGTAAGTATAAATATGATTTTAGCCTTCAAAATAAATTTTGTGGAGAGATATAGGGAAAAACGTGGATTTTAAGTAAGGTAATTGATATATTCATATCGAAACATTGCAAGTTGATAAGAAAACACACCAACTATAATATGTTTGTTATAGGTCATTCAGACGATATTCACACCGTTGATTTATTAACACAAGAACGAAAAAACTTACGACAATTATTTGCGTAAATTGAAAGGAAATCAATAGCAGTGTTACCACAACTGATGTCAAATTTCACTGTATGATGTCATATATTAAATGAGATGTCTGTCAAGGTGAATGGTATTCAAATCAATACGTTATACATTTTATGGAGCGATATTGGTAAACACGTGGATTTGAAATATGGTAGTTGATATATTCATATTGGAACATTTAAAGTTGAAGAGAAAAAAATAAACAACACAAATTGTAACATGTTGGTTAAACGTCACTCAGATGATTGTCACACCATTATTCAATAAAAATATTCTTATGGGAGAGAAGAAAAAAATAAAAGGAAAACAATACTTGCGAGAATCATTTGATTGCATTGGAAAGAAATCAAAAGTAGTGTTAGCACCACTGATGTCAAATGTCACTGTCTGATGTCATATGTTTAATAAGATGTCTGTCAAGGTAACACAAAACAGTATTCACATCTGTAAGTTATCTAAAACAAGTCTAGTACAGTGTATTCTGAATAATTACCCATATGGGTTGTCAATATTACGAATTTAGCTGTGTGCAATTATCCAGCAACCCTACCCATAACTTAAGACGATGAAATAATGTATAACTAATTTCTATCAAATAGATATAAGAAGATGTGGTATGTGTGCCAATGGGACAACGTTCCATCCAAATTAAAATTAATAAAAGTAAACCATTAAAGGTCAAGTTTATTTAGTTAAAGTATTATAGGTGATGTTAAAGAAATAATTTGACATATTGGGAACTGAATTTAATTTGTTCGTAAAATTGTATTTTATGGCCGCTAAAGATTATAACTTCCCGTGGGTATCATTTGCTCGTTGTTTAAATACTGTCATATCTTGTAATCAAGGAGAAGAAAAGTCAGTACTCTTAAAGAATGTCATCCCAAACAAGGTCCGTGAAACATCCATCTCTACAAATCATATTCCTTTAATGGCAAATGTAGACCGTAAAAATCATTTCCATTAAGAAATGTGGGGATCAGGCCTTGCGGTTAGAAAAATTTCAAGCACGATTATCATACTCAGAGTCAGAAATCAACAAATTAGAATACCGCATTTGATGTTTCGAGCACACAAATTTAGTACTCTGAGAACCGAGTAAAACTTTGTGATCGATGAACCTGGGCTCTCGGAATATGAAAGTTGTTTTCCATTCGTTTGATATGTTTGAGCTTTTTATTTTGCTTGAATTTTCCTTGGAGTTCGGTATTTTTGTTATGTTTTCTTTTTATAAAGCTATACTCATTATTCGGAGTACAAAATTTGTGATCGAAACACTAAATCCACTATTTGTTTTGGTTGAATGAGTCTGAGTAAGTTAATCGAAGGCGAAATTTTTATGCCGCAAGACCAGGTATGATAGACAATGAGAAAACTATCCTTAGACCAAAAGATAAAGATTTCATCAACCCCAGTTCAACGAATTGCAGTTAACAATCAGAAAAACCCATACCGATAGTAAGCTATAAAAGACCCCGGTATGACAAAATGTGAAATATTTCAAACGAGAAATCTTATGGGCTGAAGACTCTTTTCCTTGATAAAAAGAAAATGATATTTTCACTACAATCATGGACGAAAAACAAATATGACTGGCATCAACCAACGCATAACACTGGATTACATGTTTCTGCCTTGGCACGACACATATATAAGTACAATCTGTACCAATCAGTTGTAACCGTCTTGTATGATTCATAAAAAGCAAAAAAAATCTTCTGAAACGGGAAAGTAATCAATGGTATTTTTACTAAAAACATTTGAACGAAAAACATATATCACCTTAGCAACTAACGAAAACAACAGGATAACAGGACCTT